GCATCATCCTTGCCTTGTTGTAAATCATTAGACCAAATATGACAACAATCCATAAATAATTGTGGTCTTAGTCCTGTTGGTGCTGAAAATAAATAAAAGATTGTCCATTCATTAGGAAGATGAAATTCACTAATTGATTCAATTTAAGTAATTGGGAATTAACATAAACTAATTCAATAAATATTATTTTTTTAATTTTCATCAAGATCTTAAAATAGTTGTCACAATAATAATTGTATGAATATGTTCTCTGAAATAAATTAAAAATTTCAGGATGTGATGTATACACAGAAAACAAGAGCATTTACATGTTTAATGGAAGATGACAAAGTAATGCCAGTCATTTTTATACGCCCACATGAAATGTGGAGCGTATATTGCCGTCACCTATATCCGTCGGTCCGTCCGTCCGTCCACAATTGCTCGTAAACACTCTACAAGGCACAATTCTTGACTGATTTCAACGAAACTTGGTATGGTTGTTTGTAATCACCCAAGGATGAACCCTATTGAAAATAAAAAAAATCGAATATATTTACTATGAGTTATTCCCCTCTTGTTCTTGAAACGCTCTTAAACACTCTAGAAGGTGCAATTCTTGACAGATTTAGATGAAACTTGGTGTGAGTGTTGTAATCACCCAAGGATAAACCCTATCGAAAATCAGAAAAATTAAAAAATATTTAGTATTAGTTATTGCCTTTGTTCTTGAAAACGCGTTAAAATTTAAGATTGTTAACACTCTAGAAGACACAATTCTTGACGGATTATTGCGAAACTTGGCTTGAGTGTTTGTTATCACCCAAGGATAAAACCTATTGAAAATCAGAAAAATCGAAAAATATTTAATATGAGTTATTGCCCTTGTTCTTGAAAACTCGTTCAATTTGTAGCTCATAAAAACTCTTCAAGGCGTGATTCTTGCCGGATGTTCACAAAACATAGTTTTATTATTCAGTACCGCACTGAAGATTGAATATTTGTCTTCTAGAGTTTTCACAAGCTAAAGATTTAACATGTTTTCAAGAACAAGGGCAATAACTCATACTCAATATTATTCAGTATCGCCTTAAAGAGTTCAAAAGAAGTGTATGACTGAAGGTTGAATATTTCATACTGGTGATTGTTACTGTACTGCTAAATAATTTTATTCAAAATCAAAGCCAGTGGGCGTATATTACCTTGCCTGGCAAGCTATCTTTTCAGATCAGAGCAAAAAAAGCAGCACAGATCCCTATTTCTTATATACAGAAATAAAAGAAACACCAAATTAGCATTATAAATTTCCAGGTAATAAATTGTGATTGGCCAATGACTAAAACTTAGAAAGCCTTTTTGCATAAGAAAAGATAAAAGTAACAAAGAAAAGGTTACACATTAAAGTGGAGTATTTACCTAAACTAAATTGACTTGTTTAAATGATTTAGGTACATACTAACAATATGATTGTTATGCAAATTTAATTTAAACAAAAAGAACATTTTAATCCAGCATGGTGCCCTTTGTGTACCAAATAAAGAAGACAATGTCATGTTCCTAGTCTGTATAGAATTAAAGAGAACTTGGAGTGATTTTTAGCCACTGTCATTAAAACATAATTCTATATGATAAAATATCTGAAGATGATTTATTTATCATATAAGGAAATGATATGATCGTGAGAACCGTGTAAATATTTTAACATACACATACTGTATATAATGTAGAATCAATCTGAAGGTCAACAACCAATTTCTTTTCTGTTCATTTTGATGCATTTTACAGCTGTGAATGGTTCATTATCTCAATATAAATCTTAACAACTGAAACTTGGTTCCTTTTGAAATGTTTTAAATTTGAAATTCTTGCTATTCTTAAAACTGCTGATGTAGATAATATTTCAGCATGACTTGTTTCTTGTTAGCAGCCATATTACACACAATTCTTTCTAATATAATAAGTCTTTGAAATTAAAAGTAATCCTGATCCCATTTACATTAAAAGGTTACAAACCCAAGAAAGGTATGAAAATAAGAAAATAAAGCATAGCTTGAGATTATAGAAAGTAATCTTTCAGGCCTGATAGCTGGGAGGACTACATATAATAATAAAAATATTCATAGTAATGCCTTTCATAGAAGTGAGTAATGTAACAAACAAGAAATTGTCCATCATTTGGCATTGATTTTAATAAGCGTACATTAACATCATAAGACTATTTGAGCGTCGTATGTACTCATTTTTCACACACAATTAATAGGCTGATACTTTCTGTAAAAGACATCATTAAAACAGCAAAAATTAGATTATTTCATAACAGCTGTGGTAGACTGAAATGATGAAATTCAACAAATTTAGAAGTGAATGTTGGTTTTGATTTTTGATCTAAAAACCAATAATAGAACTCAATTTTCACTATGCTCAATCCAGCAGGCAGTAATAGACTTGATTAATCAGGTGGCCCAGAAAAAAATGATAACACTTTTCACTTTAAGAAGATTACAATTTAACTTTAATTGATCATATGCTTCCGACTGCAGTTCAGGACTAACTGCCCAAAAACAATTTTTTCTAAAACAAATTATTCTCTTTCCATCGTCCAATGGTATTCCTTTCCATTTCTCACTAATTTATTTCTCAGTCCCTCTCTTTAAGATAACTTTTATCAGCTTGAGAAACATATTGTTTGAGGGACAAGTGTGCCATTTTTTTGTACAAATGAACCTTAGTCCCAGAAACGAGAATTTTTTAGCTAGATAAAAGACATAAATATAAATAGTGAGTAAATTCCTAGTTTGAGATATTTTTAAAGGAATTATGTGATTTTCCTATTTTTGTAATACTTCTGAAGATTATATACTTATATTCAACACTTAAATCAACTATCCCTTTCACCATTGGATTGCAATCAGGAGATTGGTGGCAGCCATTCATCTAGTGTATAAAATACCCCAAATTTCAAAAGACAAATTTGCTATGGAAAAGGTGTTTGGGCAATTTGTGCAGACAATGGTGATCAGATTGGGCATTTGTTTGGTTAAAGTGGTAGAAATACAGTTATTACTTTCGGCATAATATATTTTGACAAGGAATTTTAAAGAGGCTGGCATTTCAAAGTGATTTTTCCTGTTGAGCTATTTGTGTCTCTATTGTTGTCCTCTGACAGAAACAGATATGTTAGTCCAACCAAACCAAATTTTATCAGAATATTCATAGATAGTCAGAGTTTTATTGAAAGATATTGTGACATTTATATTATCCAATGAAATTTTTAACTTCACAAGTTCGAAATTGGACATAGTAATGTGGATGTACAAATAAACTTAATTGTAAGAATTGATTTTTTGATTATATTGAGTGTGTAGGCTTTATTACATTATGAAAATTTAATTCAAGATCAATTTGTTGAGATTGGTATGTTTGAATGCAAGTAATATCTGTGTATGTATTGTGATACGGATAATGTATTCATGCTTTAATATTCATATTGTAATTAAATAGTACAATTCACATTTGTAATTATTCCTGATTATAATTACTGTATGTAGCTATTATCATAATGTTAATTATCATTTTTACTACCAGAATATTTATAAGTGAACTTTCACATTAGATTGATGATGTAGGTGGCATAAGTTTAGTAATTACTTTTAATAATTCTCTCTGTAATTACCGAATTGGATTATCACCAATTTTAAATATTTTCAAGAGGGTTCGATTTTGGGTCATTTCAATTCAGTACCATTTAGTTTTTTTTTAAAGCTGGTACCAGGACTAAGTTGTTTCTTCTGTGACAATGCTTGGAGACTGATAGAAAGGAGCTCTATAATATGAACCATGTCATAAAAACCCTTGACAACAGTATACAGCTTTTTATCATGCCATTATTCGTATTTGCCTTTGTAATGATCTTGAAATCATCCAACACCCCCTCTCCAGCTATGTTACTTGACAATTCCCTAATTGTATGTACCAGTGCACACCGAGGTAATAAACATCGGTAAAGTAGTTTATAGACTGCAAAAAAAGAAAAAAATCCATGTATTTTTGGATAATTTTATTTTATATTTTTTTGCATTTTTTCAATTTTTTGTGAATTTTTTTCATGTATTTCTTTAAATATAATATCTGACTGATAATAGATTTTAAAATTACATACAAATACAATTGACAAAACTATTTCTTGAAGAAAAATAGAGATATAACAATGAAATATAAGTTGTTAGGCAATATGAGTTATTGAACATTAAAATGTACATATTTAAGGTGAGTTACAGTTTTTTAATTTTTATACCGATTGTGACTTAAATGCATTACATCTTATGAATGACATGAGTTGAGAAAAGATCTGATAGGTCTATAACTGTATTTCCACTGAGGGAAAATCCAGCTGTCGTGAGTTTCCACGGGACAAACCGTTACAAACGGAAAACCTCTCTTTGCATTCGGCAATTTTGCAGTGCCAAATGAAAGCTAGCTCACATTTTACACAGTGGAAACGCAAAACGCCTTTTCGGTCTATTACAATTCTTACTGGCCTAACCGGTAGTCTTGTACATCACAATATTGTGCGACTTTGTGATCAAGGCTAAAATCATTCAGGAACATTTAAATTCAGCGTTCTGCAATAAAGCTGCAATACAGCTAGCTTTACTTCACAATTCTCATTGGAAACGCAGTTTATATGTTGACTCAAATAGACTTTTAAAGTAAATTAAATGTACACATTAATGGATCAGTGATGATTAAATATACTAGTAAAAATCAACCATAATTTAAAGCACCTTCCAAAGTCAAAGTATCAGCAAAATGAACAGAAAATTATGGTACCAACAAATATGAATAAACATATATTTTTTTTTTTCAGACAGCACTTTCTTAAAGCCATTTACCCTAAACATCTTAAATATAACATTTAAATCATAACAAACAATAACCATTTTAGTAGTAAAGGGGAAATATGTCAAAAAACAACTAATAATCTACTAAGCAGGGTAATATAATCTATATATAGGCACTTGATATAAATGATGTTATTAGATTATTATATAGCCAGATAGATGTACTCCTGTCATTTAATCAGTTGTAAGATGTCAGTTTAAACAGGTTATAATAAAAGTAATATTCTATAAGCTCAGTTATCATCACAATTATATAATATGATCAATTGTCCCTTGAGGCATATTAACATACCATTCAAATTACTACAAATATCTAACACTAAAATTAATTATGTAACACAACTTTGTAGCTTCCTATGTAAGCTGTCAGTTACCATGTTCTTAAATTCAAAACAGGCAAAATGGCTAAGTCTGCATACATACTTCAAATTGATCCAAGGTATAGCAAGTCAGTAATTTTTTGAAATATTTGATGTATTGTTCCTGTTCAAACAAGGTGACATCATTAAGCTTTTACAAAAATAAGTAACAATCTTAGAAAGTACTGGTTTAGATAGATAAAAGTAAGATGACAGTGATAATCTTTATAATAATATCAAGTTTATGTCAACAAATATAAATCACAGATGTTTTTGGCTATCTCAACATGAGCACTTTCATCTATTCATAAATTAGATAAACTAAACATTTTATTGTTATCATAAATAACGAATCTTTTTACTTATAAATTGATATACAATATAGATTAAACTTGATAAATTTTGATCCTGATTTTCTATAATGAAAACTTTTTCTATTGTAGTGATTACTGCATGGTCATTACACATTTAAGATTTTTTTCTCTATTTTTTTTATCTATACACAAACTGTCATTAAATGTGTATCATAATATAAGCAATTGATATTTAATTGAATTCTAATATTTGTATAATGTGTTGACTAAGTTCACTGTATAAACATTAAACTTTTTCAGCTTTTAGGTCAACTATTATTCTCTATTCAAGTAAAACTCGAACTGTTCATTTAAGCCCATACATATACTTAAAATGTCTATATGTATGTACTTTACAAAATGAGATCACTACTGATTTCTGTCATGAAGAAAATTTGATTTACTGAAAAACAAAAGGTTTATATGTCATAACTAAACTGCGTATATTCACTTTATTTCATATTTTTCACCATAAAATATCTATGATTACTAAAATTGGTTCTTGCTTTGAAGAAGATTTGATCCTACAACTAATGATCATTCAATCAGCTTGTATTTTACATTAATATGTCTTTTTAAATAATTACTTTTACAAAAACTTCTTTACACAGGGCAAATATGTCACAATCTAAATGCTTTCAATAATACCATATTGTCCTTTCATTGACCACAAGATTGAACCAAAAAACAATTTTTAAATGATTTAAATTACTTGAGAGCCAAACTGACTGACACAGTCTGAATATAGAATGATAGATATATGTCAAAAGCCATGAACTATTATGACATGTCAGTATATAGGTATAAATATGTCAGAATATATAGACACAGTCACTATTAACTTGTCTTCATAAAACCCTTTCACAAAGTAGCCTTAAAAATTCACCAAAAGTTTAAGTAAAGGTTATTTACATAAATACATTTTAAGTTCTTGCTGATTCAAATTGATCAGTAGCATTGTCCTGAAAAATAAAAGGTGACTCAAAGCTGGATCGTCACAAGATCCTGTGTTTATACCAACATCATTCTGTTGTTTAAAGTTGTCCCCAAACAAGAGAATGTGTTGACACTGGTAAAACATCGCAATTGTATTTGTCTTAATGTGAATTTTTCCTAAATAAGGCACAAATTAGCAAGCAATCAAGTTTGTAAAACATGTCCTGTAAGGTTCATAGGTTGAAAACACTATCTACATCTTTTCTACCACCAGGCAATATATACCTCAATTTATTCTTTTTTTAAATTTGAGAAAGCAAAATACTCTTGAATTGACCTATAGCCAATGTTTACAAAAATGTAGATCAAGGAAATAGTTGGTTTTAACATATCTGACCGTGAGCACATATTTCAATTAAACAGTCTTTTCTTACTAATGGATTCACAGCCAAGAGAAAGATCTTACAGTTCAGCATTACTGGTGTAGCATTGATAAATAAGAGACAAAAAAGCATTTTAAGCTTTGCTAACTTGAACAAAAACAAGTTAACAAGGCTTACATGTATATAATATTATGATAATAATGTATATTGAGCATAACCAAGAGACAATTACAATAATCGATTCCTGCTATTAGAAAGAGCAACTTTAAATGGTCAATTTGACTAGCATAATATACTCATTGAAAACTATTCAGAGGTCCAGCCTCTGTAGAAACATAAATTATATTTATAAATTATGGTTGGAAACAACTTGATATAAAAGATATTATTTATTACATATATCATAACATAATTGTCATTTAAAATATTTTATTGATTCAAATGGAAGTCTCAAGTTTTATTATTGTGCTTTGGAAGTACATAATATAAAAATAAATTCAAAACTTTGGTCCAATTTTTCTTTCCTGCATATATCAGTTATACTAAGAAGATGATAAGACAGTTCCATGGGCTCCAAAAACAATGTATAAATATTGCACTTTTAGAGAAAAAACACAGAAATTATATTTTGATTTCAACTTAGCCAATAGAAGACATAAAAAAGTTTTTAATTAGACTATTTATTATATGTATTTAGATCTTTACAGTTAAAATGAATTCATCAACAGCAATATGTTATGGACCCAACAGATAACCTGTTTTATATGGTTTAGATAAGAACTGTCAACAATAATTATCTACTACTGTACCATCTAGATTCATAACACTTATAAAATTAATTCAAATAAACTATTGCTCAAACTAAACAGTCTTATTGCTACAAAGCTTGGGAAGCTTTACTCTTTTTATGTGTGCACATTTACCCCCTTACAATTAAACATCAGTCAGCATATTAAGCTATAGTCCAATAATGAAAATCAGATAAGCATTTGATAATAGCTGTTAAATATTGAAAGGCAGTTGATTTAATATAATGAGTAGCAAAATTTATCAATGTCTTTCTTCTTTCTGATTATACATTCTGACTTTATCACTTGATTTCAGTCTCAAGTGTTAATTCCTTGACCTTTTAAGAGACAGGAAAGGAAATCGGTCACTTGGAATATCTTTAATAATTTAACTTTAGTGGGTTAAAACTATTAACCTTCTGTCAGGTTGCAGTGAATGTAAAATCATTTGAAATCAGATCTTAATTTGAAATATTTTCTATGGCCAGAAATATCTAAAAATTCTTGTGTAGATTTGATGATAGAAAGGTTATCAAACTTGACTTGAGACAGATATTTCATAAAAACTGGATCAACAATCAAAATTTTTAAAATTTTGAACTATAAGATAGTATCATTTAATACTGTTTTACAAACATCTTGATTAATTTGATCCCAATTGGTTATTATTTTCATAAAGTCATAAATTTCAGTTGTATTCTCACAGACGATGAGGTTTTAACAACATTTGACTCACAAAATGCATATAGTTATAGTCCTTGTCAGGTAATTTCTATGTCCTGAAACCTTTTAGCTAAAAAACAGTTCAAGTGAGTTACTGTCAGTTAAGAAAATATAAGTTTGAACATCTAGGACAATAGAAAAATATAACAAGAAATATATAGTTGCGAACACACAGCAGTATAGTATATGGTTTTACATGTATAAAGGTAGAATGAGCTGATAATAAATTGATATTCACAAATCATTCTACATAAAACACCATAATGAACAATAGTATTTATTCCAGAGTAATGGATATAAGAGGATTCTGTCTTGACATCGCTGAATTTGGAAATATTGTGTTTTAATACATTCCAACATGATGCTTTTAACACAAAAAGTACATACACGACACATTTTTCTGCAATCTTTCACCTCACAAAATATGCATATATCATCTGTTGTGATAAACTGCATACTGTTAACCTGGTACACATCCTGAATCCATCAAGAATGTTTAATTAGTAATCACAGAATTTTGGAATATAGCCTATGCCCTGCCTCTCAAGAAGACAGCATCATCTCATTGAGAGGAAAAGTTGAATTAGGAGCACTGTTGGATATATTGAGGGGGGCATTGTGGACAAAAGGGACAGGGTGGAGAGGGTGGTCCTTGGTACACTGAAGGCATATTGTACTTAGTATAACTGTTAATAATTTGGCTTCCTGGGGGTAGCTCTGGGTTAAAGGGACCATAAAACACTTGATCTATCACCAAATTACTCAAATGATCAATTTTGTGAAGTTCAATACATTTGGCTTTTGCCTTGGCTCTTTGTTCCTCTTCCATATACACTTGGTATGCTAATTGATGAATTAAATTAAGTGTTTGTCTCCTTTCATGGTTCATTAAACATATTGTGCTTTCATCAACAACTTTGTATAAGGTTGTCAAGTATTCATACTTTAATTCTTCTTCACCTATAAAGTGACTCTCCAAATAAGCACTAAGCTTTTGACTTTGTTGAAGAATGTCACCGAAATCAATAAAAAACCTTGAACACATGTATCTTTCCATTGTCCGCACATCTACATCATCAGCAGAGGTGTACTTACGAACTAGTAGGTGACAATATTTCAGTAAACCACCTCCACGAATTTCCTCTGGACATCTAGTTGCAATTTTCTTCTTTATCAAGTGAAACCATGCTTCACAAAAATCTCCATAAAGACTTTCAGCAAATATGGTAGGATAAAAATGTTCACTCATAGCTGTTTCAGACACATTATAGAAAGTTAATAAACTATCCAGAATAATTTGAAAAGAGTCAACACTGAATTCAAACTGACGCTTCATTTTATCCACAAACTTCAGTTCAATATTTCTACCTTTATTGTTCATTAGGGAGATTAAACTCCATCTATCACCATGCTCGTTGCAAACTTTTACCATTTTTTGAACATAGGCTTCCTTTAAACTACAACTGTTCATTTTCTCCTTATTAACACCGTCAGGTAAAAAGTCTATGAGACATTCGAGAACACAGTTTTTAATTTTCTGCAACTCATTGTGGTTTGACAGTTCTACTCCAAATATCAAATCGAGATCTTTATAGTTCATTTTTTCAGTTCCAAGTATATAACAAGCCGCTCCACCATTAAGTCGAACATCGCGTATTATGATTCCTTCGTTCTCTAATTTTTCACGTAAAATCTTAACCAAGTCTTTCAACTTTAATTCCAGAGTCGGAAAATTTCCTCGGCCATGTACAGGAAGTTTTCCTTCCAAGACTTCATTTAATCGCACAACTTGTTCATATCCCAAAACTTGAAAGCGACTGTCTAAATCCACCTTTTCCATGCTGTAATAGTCTTTTATGTTTGAATTTACCGATGTCTGAAAGTAAAATTGAACAAAATCTGTTAGAACTCCTACTTACATTGATGACAGTTATATCTTTCCCCACGCGAGCAAACGATTTGCAGAATTGGCAGAAATATTACGTTCCGCGATTGTCAACTTTTATCACATATATTCCTACGCTGTTTACCAGCTGTTTCTTTATTAATGACAATTTTTTTATCTTTTTGTAAATTTTTGTGATCAGTTTTGATCCGTGATAGTAAATTGATATTCGAAAAGGGGAAATCCTTTTCAATAATCGAAACTATTCTAGAATAATATCGGGACTATATTCTAGTGCGGAGGTAATTATTTTTAGCTGCTTATTGATTGGCTGAGTGTGTCGCAACACTCGGGTCGTACGTCTGTCAATTTATGGTGAAATTTAATAGAAGTAAACAAGTAATTACTGCGGAATATGAACTATCTTATACACTTATTCTCAAGCATGGTCTTACATTACTAAATATTTAAGAGTTTTTAGTACATATTCTGTCCAGGAAAAAACAACTAAATTTCAAGTCAGAATCATATTTTTGATAGCTAGAAGCTATTTGCAAAAAACTGATGCCCTCAACCCCCTTTAAAAAACGGAAATTCTCAAGAGAAAATAAACAGACTCGATGGACTTTTCTGGGCAACTAATTTACAAAGCTTCTTTAAACAGTATTTTGAAACATTGTATTACTTGGTCCTTAGGTATAGGACGATATCGTATAGTTTAGCAGTTTATAAACACCACAACATTTACGATATTGCCCTGTATGTTATTTAAAGATGCCACATATATCTATTCTGTAAATTTGTTAATCATGATAAGCATTCACTAAATGTAAAAGTAACAGCAAAAAAAAAAACCCAACCTTTTGTTCATAAGGCTTGTCAATCTATATGAAAATCTGAGCTTTTTTGTGGTTAGCTTTCTTATTATGAAATTATGAACTAAAAGTAGGATTTTTATCATAGATATTTCTTGTAACCTGTCAAACGACAAAATTGACCAATCGTTAACAAGAAAACTTCATTTTCAACTAATCAGAAACTTAACTGTGATCATTTTCTAGAATCATCATCGGACATGAAAACTAAAAAAGCACTTGTAAATGATTTCTAAGAATTATTTGGCTCTAAACTTGCATAACATAAAATTGTGAAAGACATAATCATGCGGAACAGTTCCGATTGTCAACAACCAGCGCGATATCACCATGAGGGTTTAGGCTTATATTTAAAAATACATATTATCTTACCTTTAAGTATCAATGACAAAATGCAACAATTCACGGGCTCAATTTTATAACAGCATTACAGTTTACATTCCCATACTACTGTCATTGGATAGAAATACTACTGTCAGTGAGTAGCAATGAAAGTATATGTATACGCTTTAGTTAACACTGACATCAGGTTTAATGTCTTTACCCCACAAAAACTATTGAATAATCACCTAACCACAACATACTTAGTGCGTAAAACTCGTGACAACTCTTTAATCCGTTTGACGTCACTGATAACTATTCTATATTGATCGTTTTATTTTTGTTACAATTCGACATAATAAACCAACTCTTGTGGCTAAATCGATCTTCTATAGGAAAATATCATCAATGAAGTTAAAATGTCCTAATATGGTCAGAATACAACCGGTTCATTCTGCGTCTCCATGGTAATTTTGACGTTGCAATGACGTTGTTTTCAGACTACCAATCAACATCTGGAATAATTTACTATTCCATGATCAATCACAGGGTATATTGATCTGGAGGTGAACTTCTACGGAAGTCACTGGTCGTACACACAAAGACGTCATCACATTTTGCTACACCAATCTGATTAAATTAGTCTTAGAAACTTCTCTATAATTTTCTAAATACGAAATAACCGCTTTCTTGGATGACAAAAAGTAGGCTATAATAGGTCTAAGCCTTTAAAAACACTGTTTAAATTGAACATTTTATGCAATATTAAAGAGCATTATTACATTTTTATTTTACAATTATAAATGCATATTTCCACAAAAAATTGTAATTTGGGGCCCCTTGGAAATGTCAGTGTTTCATTTTGTACAATATGTGGGATTGTAGTGACCTCATAATGACCCCCAAGCTGACAATTTATTGGGTTTTTCTTTCAAGAATGATAAATAAAGATCTTGAAAGAAATATCTGTGACCGTCATATAGCCTATTACTCGTTGTCTACGTAGGCCTTATTCTATTTGTACTGACAATATACAAAATATGTAGTAACTGATTTTATGTTATGTTTATGTATACCAATGAATGGAATGCAGAAACTAGATGGTCCCTTGCATCTTCACATTGTCAAGTTCGTAATAGCTTGATTGGGACCGTGTGGAAAAGCTTGGCATTAACAAATGATGAAGTTTTCGGGTAAACTTGATGGCCATTTCCCCAACTTTATCTTCTGAAATGGTACCGACCTTTATGTTAAGCCTGAAACACATGATAACACTGCTCTTATAGTGTGGTGAATTTCCTGAACGTTTAAAGAGGAATTAGGCCCTAGATATATTTTTCATCAATGAAGCATTTTACGAAGTGAATCAATCTATTATTTCATTACATAGCCCATTACCACCCACTCAAAATAAGATCTGGAAATCAATTGCGTTTGATTCAAAAGTCCAGACTATTCTAGATCGTTTGACCTTCGCTGAAAATAATATGTATTATTTAAGTAGTTGAAAGACGGCTTGTTCCCGAAATGGAAACAGATTATTGATCGAAGATGTGCGAGAGCTCTAGAGATCTAAAAGACAATATTGAAATCAACGGAATGGCAGGAGTGACGTAGGACTTTGGATACTCAGAAAAGTGAACATTTTACATAGTAAACAATTATAAAGGGCAATTTAGGATTATAATAACTTATTATTAATCTATTATTTATCACAACTTCCCTTTTTAGATTTAAAAAATCGACCAATGCTTTCCTTGAAAGTACTTAAGTAAAATTGTGCTGTTTCACCGTATCATTAAACAGTAGAGTTATCTACAGTCACTGTAAAGTTTTAACAGTTGTGTTATCAACAGTCACTGTAAATATTATACAGTAGTGTCAACAGTCACTGTAAAGCTTATACAGTCTCATGAAAGCACTGGCCTAGGTCACAAAGTAAAGATTTATGATAAAACAAAGTGCAAGTTAAAGGTTAAGATAATTAGATATGTTAACTAAGGATGTCTCTGTAATACTATCTGTGGTAGTATCATAAATAGCTGAAAATATAAGAATCAACATTCTTCAATACTATCAATATCTTTTCATGTATCTATAAAAAAAAAAATAAGCATTAGTATGAATATTTATCGTAGGAAATTCAAAAGAAAAGAAGTCAGAAATTTAAAGGCTATTGAGGGTTAAGTCCACCATGGACTAGGATATTACTGAAATTTTTATTTCTTCTGTAAGCTATAACCAGTCTCTTGCTGTAGACATGAGGATATTGGTGTTGAAGATTCTGGTAGTGGCGTCTGATGATATGAGAGGTATTAGTGGTAGTATGATTGTAGGTGGTAACGAAGGGTATTATTTGGTTGCCGTTGAGTATTTAAGCCATTAAGATATACAGTTTGAAGTCCACCCAATAACTCTCGCGTTGTAATCTTCAAGCTTTGACTTGATATTCGACATAGGTTATATCTTTTCAATTGGCATGATCAACAAGTCTTCAATGGAATGGTCGGGTTGGTTAAAGTGATTGGAAATTGGTCTGTTTTTGCCATGTACTATGTCGTAACGATGGCCGCTAAAGCGAGTTCGCAGCGCGTTCTTTGTTTCTCCAATATACTGTATGTCGCATTTTTTTTACATGAAATTAGGTAATTCAGATTTTGGTCTCCGCATGAAATTTGGTCAGTCATTAGTGTTATATTGTTTATCAACAGTCACTATAAAGATTATACAGTAGATTCATTATCAGTCACTGTAAATATTAAACAGTAGTATTTTCAACAGTCACTGTAAAGATTTAACTGTAGTGTTATCTACACAGTCCTAACTGTTACTACCACTTGGCGGCCATTACAGCCAAAACTGGAATGTGATGGTTCATTACTCTTTGACAGATATGATACAAATTTATATTGCACCTTGTCCCCAATAGACAATATCTCACTAAGAAGGTACTATAACTTGACCAGTTCTTGGCACCCTGGTATTAGATTTCATGTTCTAAATTTAGTACAAGGTCTTTCTTCACTGGTTTAAATTTGAAATTTGGTTCTCTTGATCAAAACTCTGTTTGATTTCTTTTAAAAGAAGGTGGTCATAAAATTTGAGAAATCAGAATCCTATAAATCAGGAATCTTAACACACGAATCTGATCACTTTAGAAACACAATTTCTATATTTGATAAAATTTTACAATTTTTACGAAAGCTGCCAAGTTTTAGCATTCTGAAACCATAAAAAAAATTATTCAGATAAATAGAGGTGTCCTTCAAAATTATACTAAATAATAATTCTAGCGCATACTATTTCAATTTACTGAATTTAAAAGTTCAAATTGGGTATTCTGATTGATTTGCGATAATTTGACAGTACCTGGCGATATTTTTATGACAATGTTCGTAAAGGAAATGCATCCAAATGTCCAAATCTGTGTTCATAAAATTATCAGTATAAAATAGGGTTTCCCAAGTAAATGAGCTAAATTGCTGCTTTTCATGTCTGAAATTGCAAAAAGATCCATAGATCGTCGATGGGTCCCCCAGAAGGTGATGGGTATGGGGTGTTTTTAACGGCTAACAACATTTAATGTTGTTTACAGTAATTTACGGTAAAATACATTTAGACATAAACAGCAACTCATTGTGGAACATACACGCGTACTGGCAAACGTCGCAGCCTGATTAAGCGGCTGCAATGGAGTCCAGGTTTTTGTTATTTTCCTTTTTTTTGACTGTTTGCTCATATTGTTTTCAAAGTCTGTCGTATGCCAATTTGCAAGTGCTGATGCCCCACCAGTTGAAAAAAAAGTTATTGAATTATTTTAAAACAAGATACAAAAGAAACCAATGAGTTTATGGAATGGTTCTACAAAAAGTTGAATGAAGGTCAATGAGAAAAGTTGTTATAAGAGAGGTCATAAAGATGTGTATGTATGTAATATGATACTGGTCAAACATAACAGAACTAAATTTTGAAACTTTAATTGGGCAGATTTATTGTGGTGTTAAGACCTGATGACATATTGTTTACAGTAGACATACCAACTAATTATAGTCACTGGACCATGGGCAGTACAGAATACTCTTTTTTTGGTAGTAAAAGTTAGGACTGTACAGTCACTGGAAAGATTGAATTCATATCGGTATTTATTTCAATGGTAACATCATAAACAAGTTTTTGAGAGGATTGCATGGAAACTTTTTTGAATGAAACTTTGTAATACATGTACACTGTATACTCGTCTACTGCAAAAAAAAATCATTAAAAATATTATTTCTTTGACAATAGGCCTACACCTTGGGCATATTATGCAGTCTACTTAACTTAAAGCGTGTTTGTTTACTTATATGTCTTTCTAGTTTTACTAGGTACAATATATTTTAATTTATGTCTTAATATATTCTATTACGGTGTCACAGATATCACGATGTCCACTAAAAATAGACATTCTTAAATGTTTTTATACAGACATTCTGCAGACTTATTTTAATACTACTCCGTATCGAGACTTTGCCCTAGGCTAAGAGTTTGTCAATAAATAGAAGATTCGGAATTTTATCACAATGTATAGAGCCTAATATGTAATTTCTTACTGAGATTGGCGTAGCTACACAACTACGGGATTCACTATAACGGCGTCACAAAAATGGACTAAACCCATAACAAAAAAAAAGCGCCTTTGTTGGTTCTTTGAACATTTTCACAGTCATTGTTGATACTTGTTCATTTAAATTTATCATATACTCAGTAAAGTTTACCGTGTCTATTATATGGCCAGTAGGCCTAATGTTTACCAGTTTACCAGGATCATAGTATGACCAGTAAAGTTTACCAAGACCATAGTATGACCAGTAAAGTTTACCAAGACCATAGTATAACCAGTAAAGTATACAAGAATTACGAGTAATTTTGTAAAGTGAACTAGAATTATGACATCTTTAGTAAAGTTAGCTATACCCAATGGCTTTTGTATGATCAGTATAGAATTGATACAGAATAATAAAAATTAGTTCCATGGATATGATATGATAAGTAAGGTTTACCGGAGTAGAGATGTTATCAATTTACCATGGTTTGATATTATCATTGTAGTTTGGCAGAGTAATGATATGTTAAGTTAAGTCTTTGATATGACCAGTTTAACATGACCATGATATGGCCAGTGAAATTTACCATGACTATGATATGACCAGTAAAGTTTACCACATCTTTAATATAACCAGTGAAGTTTACCACATCTTTAATATAACCAGTGAAGTTTACCACATCTGTATTATAACCTGTGAAGTTTACCATGGCTTTGATATGGCAAGTAAAATTTACCATATGGCAAGAAAAGTTTACCACGTCTATGATATGACCAGTAAAGTATACCATGGCTATGATATGACCATTCAAGTTTACCATGAATATGATATGACCATTAAAGTTTACCACGGCTGTGATATGACCGGTAAAGTTAACCATAAGACCAGTAAAGTTTACCACGTCTATGATATAACCATTAAAGTTTACCATGGCTATGACCAGTAAAGTTTACCATGGCTATGATATGACCATTAAAGTTTACCATGGCTATGATGTGACCAGTGAAGTTTACCATAGCTATCTTATGGCAAGTAAAGTTTACCATGTCTATGATATGGTCAGTAAAGTTTATCATGGCTATGATATGACCAGACTAGTTTACCATATGGCAAGTAAAGTTTAACACATCTATGACATGATTAGTAAAGTTTACCATGGACACGATATAAACAGTAAAGTTAACCACGTCTTTGATATGACTAGTAAAGTTTACAACATATTTAATATGACTAGTGAAGTTTACTGGGGCTATGATATGGCAAGTAAAGTTAGCCATGGATATGGTATGACCAGTAAAGTTTACTAGAGTAGTGATATAATCAACGAAATTTACCAGGATCCCGATATATACAGTTTTTTTTTACCAGGATATATCCATTATGGTTTAAGTTTATACTTTAGGGAGTTTAATTTTTATGTTATGGCCTTAGCACCTAATTGCCCAACCCATCGCTCTACTAGTGTCAAAATAAACATGAAAACGAACATTACATTGATAAAGTTTATTCCTGTATCTAAGTTATAATGTAAACAGAAAGTATAACATTATTGTATAACTATTTTGTTAAAGTGGTGTCGGTTAGTACCAGTCCACTATCAGCTATATTATTAGTTCTCGTTAAGTGAATAAGAAGTAATACAAAATTTTCATGGTCATTGAACAACAAACTTTAGGCCTACTTAGCTGTTGAAGGACACTTTTCTGAGTATATATGACATATTTAATGCAGTGATAGATTCAAATACTTTTCCTATATTGACAAATTTAATTTAAGATATGATTGAACGTATCGTAATTTAAGTGCTAGTGCAAATATCATGATTTTTTAGATTACATTCATCAATGGGTTAGTAATTAGCTACTGATGTACAATGCCTAGGGCATAGAATAAGAACGTGACTCAAATCTTACTTTATAGCCTTAGTTAATTAATTAAAATTTGAAATATTTTCATCAATTTGAAGAAAGAACTGCAATTTGACCACACACCGTCCGTTATTGGCCAAGAGGCAAAAGTTCGCGAATGACCCAAGATTGATTAATTACTGAGGATATGGCGCAAACAGTAATAATAGATGTCATTATTACACAATTTTATGGTAAAAATCTGCGGCAATTATATAATAAAGTCGAATCATCGTGTAGCCTTTCTTCTAATACGGCTTTAAAAACCCAAATAAGCACAAAAAATTGCAGGCCTCATTAGATTATCCATTATTATTTTTGGTAACTTGTCGGCCTTGCTGACTGCTTTTCTGAAAATAGAATAATGAAGTGCCCTTTGCAGATTTTAGAAGGCACGAATTATGATGGAACGATTGGCTGATCAAGGGGCCTTCCCCTAGAAAATTTGGGAAGCTGGAGAATACATGTAACACGATTTTGGAAGTTTAGAATACATTTATCACTTTTTTATGGTCCATGCGGGAAGGGGGCATAACGCACAAATTAATGCTTAAATACGCCACTGTTCGAGATTCTAAACTTTTAATAAAGTTAGATTGCAGACGTACATTTACAAATGTGTTTGTCGTGACCATTTTGTTTTGCTTTCTTTGGGTAATAAGCTATGTAACCCGTCATAATTTAACAACAAATATGACTGGACATCGGTCAATTACAAACTCAAGAAGAACGAAATAAAAGTCTCAAACCAATAAATAAACCTACTTGTTTTTATTTTTCTTTAAATTCAACTAAACTCACGCGTGGGTCGGATATCCACGAAAACCCAAAAGCTGAAACAATACTTCACGTGGATTAAAAGGACCATCAAAAGCAAAACTAGTGCCTGATACCTGTAGAGAATGCTGGACATTTTTGTGTAAGACACGACAACATAACTGATCTTGTTCAGCTATGGAGGGTGTCTGGGCAAACCATCAGTAATTCCTTTAGTAATGTCTTGGTAACTTGGTGATCTTTCCAGCAAATAATCTAGCTAAAGAAGGATTAAAAGAGATTTTCGGGTAAACAATCCACACGAGGTATTGGGTAAACATTTTAACTAACTGCGACATTCTTTATATTGTATCATCTTCTTACTGGTATTCAATCATTGAACACGATACTATTTTCAAGCACTTACAACACACTAACAATTTTTCCATTTTGACCACAGAAAAATGTTAATATTCAAGCACAGTTATCTGTAGCTATATGAGCATCCATATTCGTTAACGGCCTACATGGGAAGCAGACTACTTATTTCCCTAAAAACGAGATAAAAAATGCGAAATTTGACAATTATTTTCGATATTTCCTAGTTCCTTTGCAGTTAATCAAGACAGTATTATAAATATTATAACCATGATAAATGTGATGTATGTAGTAAAGAATGACAATATTATAACCATGATAAATGTGGTAAATAGTACGTTTGTTGTAAAGAAAACAGTATTATAACCATGTTAAATAAGATGTCTGTAGTAAAGAAAGACAATATGATAGTCAGGATAAATATGATGTATGTAGTATATCAAGACAATATAGCCATGATAAATGTTATGTATGTGGTAAATGTTATGTATGTATAAAATATTATGTTTGTAGAATTAACATCAAAACAATATTTTAAGTATTATATATGTGATGAATGTAGTAAATCAAGACAAAATTATAACTATGGTAAATGTGATGTATGAAGTTAATCAAGTCACTTATTTTTGAATGTGTGATTCATTATTACCCAATGCTACATGCTGTGGTCTAGAAGCTCCTGAGCTTACAACAGACTGAAGATCAGTTAAAGCTATATAATTTATAAACCAGCTACAAGGAAGGGTAAAATATGTCTTGTGGAAGTCATCATCCCATACAACAAAAAAATTTTGTGGCAGTTTAACCCATTTAAACACTTTTTCATCAATTTTCACTAATACATATACGCATACCAAGTTTTAAGAAAAAATTTGGTCGAAAAGTATTTTTTGATTTAGTCACAGTTTTATTGTGACAACAAACTTAATTAATCCCATCAAGATTAATTCAAACTTATCCAATTTTGTCCAAATCAAATCATAATTAAACATACGCGTCAATTTTGGATGGACGTTCTGACAGATGCCCAGTATAATGTGGGCGTATTAAAACCTCTATGAAATGTATAACAATTTAACAACCAATCATTCAATCAATATTCACATAACATTAATAACAAAAAAAAAGATATTAAACAAAAATACTGAGCATTTCGTAGGATTTTTTAAAAATTATTTAATTAATTTATTAGTTTGTACATCACATTTATGTACAGATCAGATTTAAAACTGCTAAAAATATTGACAAATTAGTAATCAAAGTCTAATGTAAGGAATAATAATGATTGTCATGGGTAAAATTAAGAAAATATTTTTATTGTGACTTAACAGGCTTGAAAACATGCTGACAAAATAGAAATGCTATAATCTAAATCCTCCATTCTAAATACTGCAGCTATTGCACCAATTGAGACACTCCAAACAGTGTAATATATATTTGGGAGCAGTTGCCCATCCATGACATATTCATGATAGACTTCCTAAAAACTTGCACCAACATTTATTATAACATTTCTGAACTGAATAAAAATAAACACTAGTTATAATATCATATATCTTATCCAAATAAATGAGCAGAAACCGGGTCACTTCTAAACTAAGATATTAAAAGTATAATCTTTACAAAGATAGAATGTTTGAACAAGTGATGATGTTTTGCAGATTTTTTCCAAAATGTTGATCTTTATTAATCCAATGTTATACAAAAAGTAAAATTTGTCAGAGGTCATCTGGTGAAGTGTTTTCAGGTACAGTGTATCTTGGACCATTGATCTGAAAATACAGTAACGATTAAAGGGACCTAACTACATCTGAAGAGTTGCTTTAGTTCACCAACTCTACTTGTTGATGTTTAATGCATTTTAATAGATCTGATGAAGTGCTGCCGTTTGTTGAGTTTGAAACAATTAAACAGACATAAACATACCTTATGAGGCAGTGAAAATTTTCAGAAGTGAAATAATCAAATAAGAAAGTTGCATTATTACTATGGGTCAGATAATTTTTCATTCTCAGATTAGGAAGCTAGAACCAAGGCCTTCTGACAAGATGACAGAAGTAGTTGTAGCAATCAAGCAGATAATAACATACCTTAGTATCATAATCTAGAACAAAGTTAGGTATATCTAGTTGATCTGGAGTTATTTTAGAATATAAATACTGAACACATTTAACAATCTGTAACTTTGATTTTATATCTGTGGCTGTAAATGTTGTAAAGAACCATGTAGCTAACTGAAATATTTAAACATATATATTTATACCATATATTAAAGAAATTAATAAATTGGATGATCACCCTACTTTCCTTAGACGTTTTTGTCAGCCAATGTGATTTGATTTCAATTTGCTAGAACGATTTGGTTCAATTTCGATTAAACAAGCATTGATCTACAAATACGAATTTGATATTGGCAATTAGGCAATATGGCTGCTTCCACTGACAAAAAAAAAAGTCATCTCTGTTGGTTATTATTATTGTTGAACTTCCACATGCAGCCATCTTTAAAAAGTCTAATATAATTTTTAACCACCTCCCGGGACGATTAGCCTAATCTGTTTAGATTATATATTGCTATACTAAAATATAGATACATTAATTTGGTTTTCATTTTGGTACTCTATGAAAACTTATGTAGAACTAAGTACTAAACACAAACCTTAGTCCACCATGTTGGATGAACAATATAAAAAGCTTTTAAATGTTTTCTAAATCTGTAGAAGAAATGAAATAAATAACTAACAAATATTAATTATCTCCTACATCAACTACTCAATTACAGCAGCATTTTACAGCAAAACAAAAATTCTCCTGCTTCTGTTTAAGAATATAAAAGCTTAAAACTATAGCAAATGATTTTCACAGTCTGTAAAAAGATGGCTATAAGATATATTGAAAACTTACTTGTAATCTAAGAAGTTATAGGCTAATTTAAGATAAGCCATTGGTATATGATTTTGATTGGATGTTAATGTATGATAATAAATCACCACATAGTCATTGTCTGCTACTGGATCCATAACTCGTATTAAATATAATAAAGCCTATAATATACCACAAGAAATTGAAATGAAGTAATTCTCCTTCTCAGAAGCAATTGAAGATAGACCAGAGACAGAAAATTGTTTCTTGTAGTATAAAGCCTAAACAATAAAGCCTATAATATACCACAGGAAATTGACATGAAATAATTCTCCTTTACAGTAAGCCAGAAAATTTGCTTCTAGTTACACTGTAATCAGTAGACTTCAATATAAACAAAGATAGCTTGCCAGGCAAGGTAATATACGCCCACTGACAGCTTTGATTTCAAATAAAAATATTTGGCAGTACAGTAACAATTACCAGTATGAGATATTCAACCTTCAGATATAGCCTTCTTTTGAACTTTTTGAGGCGATAATGAATCATATTACGAAGTTTCATCAAAATCTGTCAAGAATTGGGCCTTCTAGAGTGTTTACATTCTAAAACTTAAACGCGTTTTTAAGAACAAGGTAATAACTCATACTAAATATTTTTCGATTTTTACTAACATTCATATCAAGCTTCGTCCAAATCCATCAAGAATTGTGCCTTCTAGAGTGTTTACGTGCTACAAATTGAACGCATTTTCGAGAACACGGGCAATAACTCATACAGTCAAGTAACCTAATTTCATGCTAACTTATTTTTCGTGCATTTCCGGAAATGATTAATAATTTACATGTGCGACCTCCGCATTTGCTTGTTTTGATAAACATGGGTTTTTTGTTCAATATCAGCTAGTAGAATTCAGTAGTTTCAAGCAAGGTAAAATGTGTTAATGTATACTTGTATACAAATACAAAATGGCGGATTTCAGTTATTACCAAAGGTCACTATTTTTATTGGCCGAATTTCACTATAATAAGCGGTAATCGGATTTCCAAGTGTCGTCGGATAGAATGTAGTCCAAGGAATGAAGTCACATGATCAACTAGCAGATTCCGTGTCAGCAGAAAATTTCTATGGAACACATAGTGGGCCATATTCTTACGTTGTTTCAGTGAATTAGCAATAAATCACGCTACGTATCTTATTTTGTCAGTCACTATTTTTTTTAAAATCATGGTTCTTTGATAGAAATTGTCAGTAGTTATAATGAATTGATATGAAAGATAAATACTAAGAGAAGTTAATTATACCACCAGGTAACCATACAACGTGTTTTTCTAGATTTATTTATAGATCAAACATTGTACACGAAAATAGTTGACGCATTCTGCCGCCGTTACCGAGTTGGTTGCTCATGAAATATGGGTCAAAGTGAAGGATTTATAAAGAAAATCGAAACAAACCAATTTTAATATCTGAGAAAACATCTAAGACATAAAAAAAAAAAATTGTTTTTTTAACTTTGACGAAATTCGGTGTTGAATCCTTATATCCACGAAAATAGGTTACACCACTGTACTAAATATTTTTCATTTTTCTGATTTTCAATAGGGTTCATCCTTGGGTGATTACTAACACTCATACCAAGTTTCATCTAAATCTGTCAAGAATTGTGCCTTCTAGAGTGATAACATACTAAAAATTGAACGCATTTTCAAGAACAAGGGCAATTACTCATACTAACTGTTTTTCGGTTTTTCTGATTTTCAATAGGGATCATCCTTGGTTGATAACAAACATTCACACCAAGTTTCGTCAAAATCTGTCAGAATTGCGCCTTCTAGAGTGTTTACAAGCGTTTCAAGAACAAGGGCAGTAACTCATACTAAATATTTTTCGATTTTTCTATTTTCAATACAGCACGATATAAAAATCTCGTACCAGCAATGCTGTTAAAATCTTCTGATTTGGATCTCTTTAATAATCTTTCATATCTGAAACAAATTTCAAACAATTTTATAGCTGGTACTTCTTTGTACTTACACCACATGAAATAAGGAATAAATATACCCAAATTCAACTTGTCCAAGATCTTTTAAATGTAACCCTACAAACTACATTTTATAAAAATCTCTTTTGCATATACTAGCCAATTGTTGACTGACATATCGCTGAACAAACGGACAGGGGCGACAGCAATATACATCCACATTAGTATGTGAGCATATAAAATATAAAGTCAAACCTTCTCTGTATTTCAATCTTCCGTACATCTGCAGCATTTTTCCCATACAGTGCACCTTGCTTCACTGAATCTGGATTTTCTTCCATGCTTGCAAAAGGATGATGTCCTACATCCAGCGCAGTAGAAGTACAAAATTGTCGATTTAAATCAATTGTCTCTTCAAAATCTCCATGACCATCTCCTGGAGTAAAAACAAGTACTAGCTAGCTCTATCTGTGGTAGAGATGCAGGATTTAAAGAATGTGTAAATTAAAATTGAATATGGTTTGCAAAAAATGATCAGTGGCTTTTATTGACTTTTAACTCTGTTTAATTGTTTTTTTCACTAATCAAAACTACCAAAGTTCTTTCCTGGTGGTAATAAAACCACGTTGAACATTAAAATACTTAAATATGCATGGATGTACCAGGTCTTTGACCTTGCAAAGATCAAGTTGTACATTGTTGAAAAACCTGAATCTTCATCTAATCGAAAGAGCCAAATATCGTTATGCAAATTGCTGTTCGAATATGAAAGTATTTGTTGGATGGATAAGTTTAAGGCCATGAAAGGGCGAAAACTGATAAAAAAGATGGCTTGCCAGGCAAGGTAACATACGCCCACTACCAGCTGTCAGAAATGATAACAAAGTAACAAAGTCTGTAGTGGTTTAATATGTGAAACCAATCATCCTATTTTTACTAATTTCAAGCTTTACTGAGATCTCATAATAAGTTTCATCAAGATCGTATAAAAAATGTAGTCTCCATCAGGCCTACAAGCCAAATTAGACGCATTGAATTAATTCAAGGGCAATAACTCCAAAACCGTTCACCCGATTGTTACCAATTTCATCTTGACTGAGATCTTGTCCATATATACATGCATACAAAGTTTCACCGAGATCAGATAAAAACTGCACCCTGTATCATGACTACAAGCCAAATTTGTAGGGTTTTACAAAATAACTCCAAAACCATTCATCTGATTATAAACTGTAGTCTATAGCCTGCCTAAAAGCCAAATTTTACTAAGTCAAGGGCAATAACCCTGAAATCGTTCATCCAATTATTACCAACTTCAAACTTAACCGATAATTCATCAATATATTCATGCATACTAAGTTTCATCAAGATGGTATCAAAATTGTAGCGTTCTTTGGGCATACAAGGCAATTTTAACGCAATTTTACTATGTCAAGGGAAATAACTCTGAGACTGATTATCCGATTATTACCAATTTTAAACTTTACTGAAATCACATCAATATGTACATGCATACTAAGTTTCATCAAAATTGGATAAAAATTGCAGCCTTTATCGTGCATACAAGCCAAATTTAACGCGTTTTTACTAAGTCGAGGGCAATAACTCTGAAACTTTTTATCCAATTATTACCAATTTCCAATTTGACTGAGATCTGATGAACATATACATGCATACAAAGTTTCATCAAGATTGGATAAAAATTGCAGCCTTTATCGTGCATACAAGACAAATTTAACGTGTTTTTTACTAAGTCAAGGGCAATAACTCTAAAACCGTTCATCCGATTATTACCAATTTCAAACTTGACCGAGATCTCGTCAATGTATACATGCATACTAAGTTTCATCAAGATCAGATAAAAATTGCAGCCTTTAATGAGCATACAAGCCAAATTTAACTATTTTACTATGTCAAGGGCAATAACTCTGCGACTAATTATCCGATTATTACCAATTTTGAACTGTACCTAGATCTCATCAATATATACATGCATACTAAGTTTCATCAAGATCAGGTAAAAATTGCAGCCTCTATCGTGCATACAACAGGACGGATGGACGGGGCGACGGCAATATACGTCCACATTTCCATGTGGGCGTATAAAAAGCATGTATTTCAGCAACAAAATAAGTTTAAACCGATTTGAATGTCCTGTGCAAGGTTCAGATTACATAAACTAAAACTTTCTATACTGGATGTATAACTTACTATAAGCTGCAAAAGCAGGTTTATCTAAAATTCTTATCTGTCTTTCAAGTATGACTGGTTCTCCATTTTCATTGCCTACATCACTGGGTAAATTACTTATAGCATATTCTTCTTCTTTAGAATTTCTTGGGAAATATAGTGGTAGTACATGGTTATAAATATCCTATAAATGAACCAATGGTAAAAGATAATTACATGATTGTACATGAATGTCTATATTTTAAACGGCCGTGGTTTACAACTTTTTGGCGTTGTTTTGAATATGTAGCCTAAATAATCTTCAGAAGTACTAGAACTGTACAAAAATCAAATAATCCCTTCAATACATGTAAACTTAAAACTAGAATTTTCACTTTCTATTTCTATATATATAATATATATCTGTCTTTTCTCAAGACAAGACGACTCATCCTTTAAACTTTCAAATGTGGATAATTCTGGACACAACTGTGAGTTGTGAACACTTTTACTAATTACTTTAACTAAAAAAAATTCTCAATTAGGGAACATTGGTCAAACGGATGATGAACCCTTTCAAGTACATAAACGCTCATTCTGTATGATGCTTTAAATTTCATTTGCTTGATGGATAAATTGTGAACATTGAAGATACCTACCAGATTTTCATCATTACACACTAATACTACTATATCAAAACTATTTCCAAACTTTTCTAAAAATCTTCTTATTGTTCCTGTAAAGATAAACAAGTTACATTTCTCAACCATTATTTATTATCAAACTGTCATGTAATTTAATTTTTAATTATCATTGATTTAAATTACAACTATGTTAACAAGAATATTCAAGATTATATAAAGTATAATATGGTCATAAATATGAATTATGTGTACTTACTACAGGCTATATGAGCACCACTATCGGGGGGATAACCACGTCTTATTGTATGTATACATGTTATAGCTATTGTTCTTATATTGTTTTCTCTAGAAAAAAAAATACATAAGAATTATTTCAATACCGTTGTCTCTTGATATATATTCTCTACTCAAATGTTGTGTATAAACACCATTAAATATCTTTTATTCATAAACATTATTTTAAACAAAACTTGATCAGGTTCTGTTACGATGTATTTAAAAGTTGACAAGCCCCTATCAATATTGCAAACTTACTTGGCTATTTGTAATGAATTTCTATAACAACTGTATAAAGCACTTTCAGCAGCTGTTAAATATTTAATATTAAATCTAGGCCCAACTGTATGTATAATAAATCTTGAAGGAAGACCATAACCTTTAGTTAACTTAGCTTCACCGGTTTTTATCACTGAAATTAATCATAATGAAGATAAGTTTTGGTATATAGGGACATACCGATAATATCTGAGATGAGTTTGCACTAGGCATGATTTGGAAAAACTGTTTCTATTTGTGATCTATCAGCACTGAAACTTTTGTTAACACATTTGTAAGTTATTGTCTTCCATGATATAATAAAGACAACATTATAATTTCTGATTTTTGAGTGAATTTATGTTATCTTGCAAAGCAAACTATCTTTTTAAAGGAATACTACCTCTTAAAACATACAATTAAAGGTCTCAAACTCGGTAAACAAGTGTTAACTTATATATTCATCAGTGGTCTTACCAGGTGTCATGACTAAAGAATATTATCTCTATATATCAGATACATCTAATAAACTAAATAATTATTGAAACACGCTTCTAAGCTAGTCAGAAACATGTACCTCTATTCCAGCCTATGATGGATATTTTGGCAGTAGTCAGCTGGGGTAGAGTCAGAAACAAAAACTGTTAAACAGGGATTTTTCACACATACGAAGATGCATTTTTTCAAACATAATGTTATATTACCTTTGCAATGATTGTTGGTCATCACTGTAACTTTTGTTTTGTTAGGCTCTTGAAACTTTTGGCTGCACACACAATTTTAAATGCCCTCTTGAGATCAGTTCCAAGGATCTTTTTATATATTTAAACTACAATACCTTTGATATCAGACTGTATTTCTTTATATAGATCAGGACCAGCTTTTTGAAATATCAAATCACTTTCAACACTTCTATCATTAAGTTTTTCATTCGTTGTATGTACAATACCATGAGTATTTAATAAACTAATATCACCACTCCTTTAAAATAATGATCATACAGTTCTGATCATAAGGGGTAGAAAGAGAACCCTACTCATTACACCAAGGCTGAAGTTTTAATTTTAGATTTTTAGATGCTTGAGATTTTAAGTTCAGATTCTCAGTAAAAAAATAAACTATGACCATTGTTTGAGAAGGATTATTATTCTGAATAAGAAATAGGCTTAAATGAATCTCACCAAACACAGAGTTTCCCATTTAGATCCTTTCTCCATGGAAATGGTGACTGTTTCTCTTCATCACCTGATTCTCTTGGAGTATATTCTGGAAGTTGGGTTAAGTTCCATTTGGTTAATGAGTCTACATCAATAACATCATCTCTGGCGCCTAATGGATCCATACTTTTATCATTTAACTTACATTACCATACAAATTATACTGCTCATCTAAAATAAATTCAAAATTATCATGGCAAGTGCAACTAATAAAATTACCTGCACACTGCCTAAATAGTTAAATGAAGATTAAACACAATAAAAGAGTAGTATATTTTTCTTTTTCATACTGAAAGTTCGTATCATTTACATGAGATTTAGCATATGAAAAATCATTTTTTAAGTTTCAATTGTTTGACTAAAATCAATGCTGTACTATTTAATCTCAGATATACTATTTAATCTCAGATATATAATCACAGACTTAACTTAATTAATATAGTGACAAAGCAAATTGAGACAGGATTATGGTAATTAACTAATTAATCATTATTATCAATTACCCCTAAATTAATCCACTTCTAGTTTATTGCAGAATTGAGATCATCATATTAATTTTCATTCAAATTAAACCTTAATTACAATATATAATTATAATAATACAATCAATCATATATTAAATCTTATTTTGAATATATATAATTATATATTATTTCAAAATATTTGAACAACAGAGGCCTTGTTATCATTGTTAATCATTCAAACTATATTCAGATTCGACCAACACATTTTTGCATGTCAAATGTATTTTTAAATGCCCAAATGTCTCCATGTAGATATATATAGTTCCAACTGTCTGCTTTCTCCTGAAATTCTCAACAATCTTCAGCTTTTCACTGATTTTAACATTTAAAACATACTTATGCATAATACATAGACATAAATGAAGGAAAAATGAGTAAAAATGTGTACCCTCAGTTTAAATCGTGAATGTGCATTTTTAACAATGACTGTAAGGGAATGTTGAATACGAACCTTTTTACGCAATGTATATTTAGCTGTGAACCTGTGATGCTTACTTTTTCGATATTTTGCTGGCACTTCCGTTTACCCGTGAGGCCATGAATAGTAAAAAAACGTTTAAAAGCCAAGGAAATAATGCCAGATGAAGAGTCCATAAAGGGTCTCCAGACGCAAAAACTATTCATAAAGTCCCTTTTGGTCGAAATATTTCAACATATGACTATACCTACCACATAACCCTTAACAAGTCACAACATTAGATCGTTAGATTTTCAAAGTTTTTTACTGCACATGGGTAAACGTATGTGTCAGCATAATAGCCAACAAGAACCTCCGTTCATGGCTAAATATCCACTATGAACATTTATAAGCTTATTAAAGAGACTCAGGCAGCAGTGTTGTGATATGAGTAGGCCTACCGGTAGTAGAATATATTTGATTTCATTTTCATCCATATTTAAAAATAAAAACTTTTCCAGTGGTTAACATTTTCATCAGCACAAAGGCAGCAAATGACTCTCACTCTCAGTAGTATTTTGTAGTTGATATTTTAATTCATTTGGAAATGATTGCCAAGTTTCAATTAAAAAATATACAGTCGAGTAACCTAATTTCGTGGAAACCTATTATTCGTGGATTTCGGGAAATGATTAATAATTTACATGAGCGACATTGCGCGACCTCCGCATTAGTTTGTTTTAATAAACATGGGTTTTCTCTACAATATCAGCTAGTAAAATGAATTCAGTAGTTTCAAGCATGGTAAAATGTATTAATCTATACTTTGACAAATACAAAATGGCAGATTTCAGTTATTACCAAACGTCACCATTTTTTATTGGCCGAATTTCCTTATAATCCCAAGCGGTAATCGGAATTCCAAGTGTCGTCTGCTAGAATGTAGTCCAACGAATGTAGTCACGTGATCAACTAGCGGATTCTGTGTCAGCAGAAAATTTCTATGGAACACAAAGTGGGCCATATTCTTATGTTGTTTCAGTGACTTTTAGCAATAAATCACGCTACATATTTTGTCAGCCACTATTTTTTTTTTAAAATCGTGGTTCTTTCAAGGAATTGTCACTAGTTATAATGAATTGATATTAAAGATAAATACTAAGAGAAGTTAATTATACCACCCGGTATAACCTTTGTTTGTAGACTAATTTATAGATCAAACATTGTACACGAAAATAGGTGACGCATTCTGAGTTGGTTGCTCATGAAATATGGGTCAAAGTGAAGGATTTATAAATGAAATCGAAACAAACCAATTTTAATTATTTTGTAAAATATCTGAGGAAACATCTTAGACATAAAAAAAAAATTGTTTTTTTAACTTTGACGAAATTCGGTGTTGAATCCTTATATCCACGAAAATAGGTTACACCACTGTAGTTGTTATTGGTCAGAGAGTAAAATATCCAAAGAACTGGGACTAGATTATAAAAAGTACGATAATGAATGAAGATGAGTAAAAGGATAAAGAAACAGCTGTAGATCTAGATACTTTGATAATTATGAATTTATTTACAGCTTTTACATTTTTACAAACAAACCTGTAATTTTGTTTTGCAAAAACAATTCACGCCATTTTGACTCTATACTTCTGTCATGTGATACTTATCATGGAAAAATAGACTCTTCGACGTCTTTTGAAATGAAAATGTATTGATCATCTTTACTTTTTATACGATTCGATACGGTTACACCAGGTTAAGTAGATTATTGATATAATCAAATGTAAGTAATCCGAATTTATTGTATTTTTATATGATTACTCTAAACACCTTTCATACCTTACTAAATAATGAGAATAGTCCACTGTGTTTGGTAGTAACCTCCCTTTACAAATATGGTTGCTCAATGTAAACATTCCAGAACGTGTTGACAACTTAGAAGGACATTTTGCAATTTACAGGAATATTTGTATCTGAAAATGGCTAAAGTCATATCACAGGAAACTTTTGATGATGTTGTACGAGAAAATATCTCAGATTTTGACATGAGTGTTGAAGATGCTATTGATGACGCAGTAAGTCAGTTTGAGTCACAGGGAGTAAATCTACTGAATATTATCAAAGAACCAAGTTTGTTTACAAGTGGTGGTGATCAGACAACCCATGAAGTTGTAGTGGCGATTGAAAAAATAACAAATTGTTTAGAAGGTAAAACAACTGATGGGCTGAAAGATTCCCTTCAAAAATTGAAATCTGAATGTGACACAGATTTGGCCAGAAGATGTCTTGCAGGTAAAAATGGAGCTTATCCAGTCTTAATGAAAGCCTTGGATATTTATAAGGAAGAGCCTGTATGGCTGACTGACATCTTAAATACATTTTGTTCTCTGGTGAATGGTCAACCTGATTTATTAGATGAAGAAGGTGTAACTAAATTAGTAAGCTATGTTACTATATTTCCTGTTTCTCTGAAACCTTTAGTTATAAAACTTATTGGTTTTCTGTGTGTTAAACATGAACAAAATCGTCAATTATTTGTCCTTAATGACATTATCAACTCCTTATCTGAATTACTAGCTGAATATAAATCTCAACCTGATTTAGTTAAAGAGATATGTGTTGGTTTTCGAGTTTTAACATTGGATGATGATATTAGAGTTCCATTTGGAAAAGCTCATGAACATGCTAAGATGATTGTTACTGAAGGAGATGCCCTGAAGAGAATCATCGATGTTTGCAAGGATTATTGTGAAGATTCTGTAGTCTTAGGAGAATTATGGTCTACACTAGGATGTTTAGCTGTTAGAGATGAATTCTGTAGAGAAGTTTTAGACATGGGAGGATTATCATTGATTTTAAATTCTTTTGAAAGTAATATCAATGATAAGAATTTAACTCGTAAATGTTTATCTGTTATGAAAGCTCTAGCTGGGAATGACACTGTTAAAGTATCAATTGTTAAGTCTGGTGGAATTGAATTAATTGTAGCTGCAATGACCAAACATCAAACTAATGCATTCATAGCTGAGGCAGGATGTGCTACATTAATGACCGTGGCTTTAAGAAATCCAGGCAATTGTGAAAAAATTATGGAATGTAATGGCCATCAAGCTATAGTACAAGCTATGAAGATACACCCTACAAGTAGTGGGGTGCAGAAACAGGGATGTATGGCATTAAGAAATATTGTAGCTAGATCAAGACAACATTGTGATGCTATAACAGAGTTAGGGGTTGAAGATGTGATTAATAAAGCTAGAACACGGCATAATAATTTAGAAGATGAAGCAAAAGCTGCCTTGAGAGATTTAGGATGTAAAGTGGAATTGAGGGAACAATGGAAAGGAGAACATGGGTCTCTGGTTTACTGATGATACTAATATCTATAAGCCAATAATTATTTATTCTATACGCAAATTTGTGAAATCTGTATTTGCAAAATGTTTTATCTCTTCATAACATTGCATAACATTTACATATTTCTCAATCTGTAATAAATGATATAATCTAGACTATAGAAGTTTTGATAGAGGTAATGATGTCTTGACATAATATAAAAGGAAACACAAGGGAATAAATTATAGTTTAACACACTTCTTTCATAACAAAGTTTTAACACAATATACATGTGCCGTCATCAAATGAAATGAAGGAGGGAGTATACATGGGAATATAAAGCAAGAAAAGGAAGGGGGGGAGCCATGGAGTAGAAAGGCAGGTAATAACAAAACAACAACAATGAAGCTAAGACAATAGCACTTTGTTATTAAAGATGTTTGTTTCCTGTATGTGCTCTCAACTTCTTAATGTCATTCAAATATTTTCCTGACACAATGTTGTAAGCTTATTGATGCAAGATATAACAGTACAAGCTCTTTATCAAATACAATAAATTCTATGTCTGAGACCAACATGTACTCATGGGCCATTAGTTCAATTAACTTACTGGATCAGTGCTTATGTGGGACAGGTTGGTCAAATAATCAGGTCTCTTGGAAATTGGGAAAATATGCAAGACAAAGGTTGGTACTATGGTTCTTCAACTTGAGACAAAGTGGAAAGGTTGATTTCAAATTATCTTTACTGACAGCTCACAACAAGACTAACCAGCCAATTGATTCATGTTTGCGAAATTTATTCTTCATGTAATAAATACACAATGAAACAGTAACATAATATCAACAAATATACACAACAACTCTGACATTAAAAAGAAGAGGATAACAAATAACACAGACACTTCCAAATTCTCACAGGAATATGACAAGCTGACAATAACACAGTTATATCAGTGTCAAAAACCTACTGTAATAGTACATTCAGATATTTATCACTGTTTTATTCCTATGTAAGAATAACAGTGTAACTGATTACTAATACCAGCTTTATTTAATTGACAAACCATTTCTATGGTGACCAAAGCAGTTTATTCTATTGCACAGACAAAAAACTTAAAGATGGGTTCCCTTATTTTCATTTATGAAAATGAAAATGCTAATGCTTATATAAATAGATAGTAGAGGTGTTCTAATGATTTGGAAAAATACCAGTTTGTCTCACATGTCCGTAATTAGTTCATAATTAGCTAAATTACCTGCAGAATTCCAATGAGTGACCGATCAAGAAAGGTCAAAAGGTTTATCCAGACTGTACATACATGGACATTTATGATTGGTTAAAGCTCTTAATTATATGCAATAAGAACATAATGATATGATTAAGAATACATGTTAATTCATTAGAAACACCAATTGATACAATAGTTTGCTTAATTTTATACTAAAAAAATAACCAAACCCATCTTTAATAGCTTCATTACTGTATGTTACTCAAGAATAACAATATAATATACCAAGGAAGAAAGTATAGAGAGATTTTACAAGGATTATTATGGTTTTCTATTATGAATTTTTTTTACCAGCTAGTCCTTTGCCAAACATTTTGGCCCTGATCTTTCCGAAATTATTCATACCCAATTACAGTTGGGCAAACTGGAAAACCGTATCATGACCAATCAGATAGTTTCTAACTCGCAATGCCATTTGTATAAGAGGTTTAATAATGGTAATCTTATTCTTACCACTTATTTTACTCAAGAACAGATTATTCTTGTAAATATTTATTGTTGATCAACTAAAACATACTATAAGTACTTTTTGACTATCTTTTTATATCTCAGTTGAACCTAGTCCTTTTAAAGGAGAGATTGTTCACATGTACTGAGGTGTATTAAGTACTAAATTGGTCTGTAAGATATGAAATTCTATGTTTGTCGACAATTGACTTGTTGATGTTCAGCTCTATCATTTTCCTCATCATCAACATCTAAAAAGCCAGTTATTCTATAACCCATGTTCATTAACATGATCTCTAATGGATCAGCATTCATTCTCTTCTGATTAGCTGAGGCAGCATCATCTGAATTATCAATTTCACGTTCATTCTTTGATCCATCCTGCAACATACAAAAATAATAATACCTAAAGTACTAATACCCAATTAGAACAAATATTCAATCAAAGTGTAAGTATGTATAAATTTACTTAGTGTATGTAGAAATATTCATATTAAAATCATAGTTAAAACTGAATGCTTATATGGTAAAACAATTTTGAAAATGAGACTCAACAATTCTTGTTACTTAGATGCATACTCCCACAATTCTTTTTTTTTTTAAATATTAAACAATTTTTTCCTACAACAAAATTTACAAAGGTAAAATATCATAAACAATCTTAACTTAATTGTTGCTAATAAAAATATCGTCAACACACAATTGCTAAACAAAAAAGAAGGTGATGGTTCAATAAAATTACACTTACATCAGGCCTAGGACTCCATAATCTGACAACAGGATCAATACCACTAGTAGCTAGTAAACAATAGCTTGGATGTGGTTGTAAACAGTTGACTATAGAATCATCCCCTCGTAAAACTCTTACTATATTAGTTGTTTCTTTCTCCCAAATAAAAAATGACCCATCATCAGAACCAGCCACAATATACTGACCATTACTATAAAATTTAGTTACAACAATTACAAATTAACTTTTATTTTTTTCTTTGTCATTTTATCTTTAAATTCATAAAAAAAACAAAGCAAGATGTTGATTGTTGGTTTTTTAGTTTCATATGTATTCCTGAACATATTAGTTATAAGCTCTTTAGAATTCAAATCAAAAGACTATAAACTCTTACTTCCACTTCAATTAGTGTCAGATATTAATACTATTTATATCAATATAAATCCAGTCATAGATTTAAGTCTGCCAGATACTGCAAGTTGCTAGCAATCGATGAAGTACCAGTTCCTCCAATAATAACAACATACCTGCCAAAGAAATTTGCCTCTTTGATATCAGTAGTAGTATTACAATGACCACAAAATCTATATTCATAATCATAGGCTTGACTAGTCCATTGTTTTTCTTGTTCTGATATAGTAACAGCTTGTTGTTTTTCTTGATTATCACCACCTGCACCAGTAGATTTATTACTAGAACCTCCACCACTCTCTTTATCATCTATAAAACAATTTACTATTTGACTGAAACATAGATCTGGATGTTTTGTTTGAATTTCTTAGGATCAAGCTTCCTGTACTATAGTCTAAATTTGACCTCATGCTTACACAGTTTGTAAAAATCTAAATCCAAAACACTCTTTAAATTGAAATTCAATGAATTCCTAAAATGAAGTTTACGAATATGTCATTGAACAGAGCATTTGATTTGTGAATGATAAGTGGAGCAAAAATGAAAAAAAAAAATATCTAGATCAAACCTACCAGCATCTGTTTGTGAATAAATTTCTGCTTTTATATCACGATCTAATGCCTCACATGCATGACTTTTAGCATAATCTGGAAACATAGCTTTAAATTCTTGTAAGCATTGAAAAGCTTCTGAAGCCCAAGATAATTCAAATAAACACCGTGCCAATCTAAAATGAGCTTTAAGATGAGTTGGCTCTAATTTCAAGGCACAGTGACAATCTCTTAATGCTGCATATAGATCACCATCCCTACAATTTATAAAAGAGTAATTTAGTCTTAGACAAACTTACTTATAGGTCACATCTCAAATGGTCTGAAATATTATTTAGTTTTGAAGTTTGAATTTTTTGTATTTAAAGAGAAGGAAAACAGTACTTAAGAAAAATAACTTTAGCTTTTGACCATATGGGAGTAAATGAAAAGTTTTCCATTTAAGTGCAACAACACTTATTATTAGGGTGAACACAGGTCATTTGCCGTACATTATTAGAAATTCTATCATGGCAGCAAGATCAAATTATTTTCAGTTTCAAATTGTTAAGATATCTGAAGTCCAAGATTCCAAACTCTTAAGAGCTATTTACATTCAAACCTCTAAATTGCTATTTTACCAGACTTGTTACAATGTTAAGCAAAATAATCAACCTACCATTTGCGTTTCATATAAGCTGCTGCCCGATTACTATAAAGGACGGAAGAGTTGGATAGTTGTGATATAGCTTGATTATACATTATAATGGCTTTTGTGAACTCTTCTTTTTCAAAATAATTGTTAGCTCTCTTCTTTAAGTATTCAACTCTTGGTGGAAGTTTTACATCTGATTTCACTCTAGACGAATAAAATTCATAGAAATACAATTAGAGTACATCTCTCACTGATCTTTGGCACTCAAGTCGATGGTACTTAGTAATTATTCTTTCACTTGATGTATCATTGCCTTCACGTGGAGTCCTATTTTTAGGAACTGATTGAGCTAATGAAGTTCCGAAATGCTATCATTGTGCAGTTTTGACAGGACAGGAGCATTCATATGATCTTTTTGGATTTCCAATTGTTGAGGTATTCTTAATGTGCACAGGGTTATTCCAGACACCTTTTTTCCTCTTAGCCAACCACTGTGCCTTGGGAAACTAGATTGACAAATACAAAAATATTCTCTCCACCTCAGCTGTGCCAGTATTGACAATACAGTTAGCGATCAGCCATCAAACTCACTGAGTCACCCTTATACTGCATCATGTTCATAGATAAATAAATTTAATGATAATAGTAAATAACTTTACCTTCTAGATTGTCTTTGTTTAGGTTTATGTGAATCATCTATATCTATATCTATTGATGTACATGTTGAATTAGTTGAACTAGTAGATGGTAAAGATACTAAAGGTTTTACACCGTTTGTTACACCATTCACATCAGTACGATGTAAACTAAATCCATTAGTAGGCTGACATGATTCTCCTTAAAAAAAAAATTGTAATGTTATTTTATTAAATAGTATTTCATCAATTTGACCACAGAAACAGCCATCAAACAAAGTACACTCTGCCTCCACCGGCTTATTAGATATACTAATAGATGGGTAATGTATTTACTCATACAGCAGTGTGTGTAAACTTGACACCAATTCACTGATTAATTACATTTATCATTATCTTGACTGTAAAGGGAGTCGAAGATGAGTTTATAGGCTTTTTACAGGGATACCATCTATAAATATTTACTGAAAAAATACCAATCGCCATGGTCACCAGTTTTGTCTAAATCAGTCCAGAATTCGACTTCTGAAGTGTAACGAGCTAAAGAATAGCTTAAGAATAAGGGCAATAATCCATATTAAATATTTTTGATTTTTCTGCTTTTCAATAAGTTCAGATGATTGAATGTGATTCCAAGAACAAGGGCAATAACAAGGGAATAAGGGCAATACTTTTTAGGTTTTTTTTTTCATATCTATAGGGTACATCATTGGGAAATTATTAACAATTTCACCACATTTTGTCTATATCTGTCAGAACTGTGCAAGTCATAAGTTAAAAATTGTACGCGTTTTCAAGGACAAGGGCAATAACTCATATCACATATTCTTCAATTTGTCTGATTTTCACTAAGGTTCATTCTTAGATGATAACAAACACTGACACCAAATTTAATCCAAATCCATCAAGAAACCTGCTCTCTATCATGTGCACAATAAATTCCCGTTTTCACGAATAAGGCCGATAAATATTAAATATTTTTCCATTTGTCTGATTTTAAATAGGGTTCAACCATGGGTGATTACAACTCGCACACCAAGTTTCGTCAAATCCACCAAGAAAACAACTGTCTATCGTGTTTAAATTTTAACAAACAAGGGAAATAACTATATAAATATTTTTCGATTTTTCTGATTTTCAATAGGGTTCATCCTTGTGGACAGACAGACAGACAGACAGTCATATGGGTATATAAAAAGTAATAGAGTTTTTTTGATTTGTTCATAGTAATATTTAAATGGATTTCTATTTTTTAGGAAATTTGTATTGGTGTAAGTGCAGTAATTGAAATATAAATGATACACAGGGGTCTTACCAAAAACATATTTTCTTAAAAAGCAGAAAATAGCAAAAATATTTATTACAATCAGCAATAAATGCACAAAAGAATGCTTTCGACAAATTTTCATTTTGAAAAGAAAATGCAAAATATGTCCTTTAACTGATAACACATTTTTGTCTAAAATCCTTGAACTGATTTCCTGGTTTTAAGTTGTATTTTTTTACCTTTAGAAACACCATTACTCGAAGATTTGAATAGAGAAATATCATATTTCTGTGCATGTCTCTTTCTATTTATATCAAATAAATATATCTGTTCACCACCAAGATTCACCAACAATTCAGACCCTGTTGGACCAAATGTTACATAAGTTGATGCTAAACTTCTATATCTTTTAAATTTCATGTAATCTGACTGTTTCTTTGGTAGATGTCCTGTAATATAAAAACTCAATGTAAATATTTCTTCTCAACACAAAATTCTTTAATGAATTAAAAAAAAATAACGCATATTGCTATAGTATAGTGTGTTAGTGAAAATTTTCCATAAACTTTGTCATTTTCAATACACTGAATTTGTACTTGAAGTAAATGTACTGAAGTAATACAGATTTTAACGAAATACCTGCTACATAATAATCAACACAACCAATAGGTAAACTATAGTCTTCATCACTAAATGAATCTAAATGCGGATGATCCCATGGAAATCTAAACAGAAAATTATATTTCATTTATCATACAATTTCAATCATAGCCCTCAATATAGAAACTAAAAAAATCACACAAAAGTTACTGTTTCATCATAACCATTTCTTATTAATTTTGCCAATCTTCTTTTTTCATTATATTTAAATGATTCAAAAGCAGAAAATGTTGCTTTTTAGATTGATTGTAAAGAGCATTTCAGTGACACCCCAACCCAGACGTCTTGCACTAATAAATAATTTACTAATTGGATCAGACAAGGTAAGAATTCATTTTACCAACCTATTACTAGCTTCACCAGGATATTGCATTCGTTTACATGTTAACATTCTTCTATCATAAACTCTTACATACGGATCATTAGCACCAACAGCCATATATTCAGGACGTAAAGGATTCACAGATAAACATTTAGCTTCAGCATATTCTCCCATATGTGCATTTAAATTAATCAAAACATTCTGGGGATTGGTTTGAGTGGTGTCTGTACAACGTAAATCAAATTGCCTGTCAAAATATACGATCAAAGTATTAACAATTATTTGAGGGGACTATTTTTTTTTATGAATTTAATAAAATCATCTATAAAGTGAATTTTTTTTTATTTCTAGATGACCAAGTGCAGTAACTCATATAACTTATTTATAATTTTTTTGATTTTTCAAGATACTAAGTAATAACATACATAATTGTTCCATCTTCTGCAGCACTCCAGAACATAAAAGGAATGGTTGGTGCAGTAGCTATTCTTTTAACACGACCAGCATGACAGCTATACACATGGGTTGTATCTTTCATATTAATATCATGGACTCTAATCTTACTATCTGCAGCACCACTAACTAGTATGGTATCATTTGAATTCGGTAAAAACTGGAATCAAATACTTTTCAATTAGTTTAATTTCATATAAAATAGTTTTTTGATTTTAAATATTGCAGGTTAGTTTCATTCATTATGTTATCATATCTAATTTAATTTTCAATAGTACAGATTCTAACTTTCTCATTGGATTACTGATTCCTCACCTTCACTGCAAATATATTTCCTTGATGTCCAGTTCTTAAACTTGTAACTTGTTTGTGTCTAAATGCATCCCAAATCATAATCTGAACATCATCAGATCCACTAGCCAATAACCTGGACAAGTAAATATTGAGAGAATACAAATATTCAACCATATTACTAGGCTTTGTACATTATAATTTCTACAAACACATTGATGATTACACATGACACATCCTTCCAATCAGTGGGAATTTGTCTTTGTATCTAAAATTGATAGTTTGATATGTTAGCAGTGAGGTTAACAATGAAGGGGATGCACATACTTACGTTCCTTTCTCATTCCATTCTAAACAGTTCACACAACCCTGATGTCCCTGCAATTAAAATCAACAACTGCTGAATACATCTAATCTAATGTTGATGTTACTTTCTATATGTTCAATATCTTTTGGTACACATTTTATAAAACTAGGTATTTGAGAATATTTACCTCTAATTCCTTCTCTAAACCTAATCTATTTATAAGATCTGCATTTACATGCTGACTTCTTTGAAAACTCTGAAGATTTTTGTCCTGAAAAAAAAACCAAAGGTAACCATTGTACATAATTCTTGCTTTCAAAAAATTATTTACTTTGCCTGAAACTTTTTCTTTTATCTTTTCCTTGTGGTCAGTTTATTTAAATATTTAGTTGCAGATTGGTAATTCCATAGCAGTGACATACAAATCCTGTTCATAATTGAAATCTTCAATTTTATATTGCAGTGAATAAAACAGATCTATATTGATTGTATTTCCAATTTCTGATCGCGCTCAAGACAAACACAAAAGTCAGTAGAATAAATAATATCTATCTTCTTTAGAATTCCAGAAATGATACAGATAAAATGTTTTAAAGCTTGGGTTTACTTACATTTACTTCTCTAAATATCTTCCTTTTAAATATCACAGAATTACTGCAATCCATCATGAATTATTACCAGTAAACAACCAACGATCGAATTAATAAACATACCACATCATCTAGTAACTCAAATATGTTAACTAATTCTTGATATCAGCAACTATTAGAAGCTTATTGCTGCCATCTGCAATATATATCATGAAGTCTTATAATGATGCTATGGTATCTTAGATTTGTCATAATTTTACTGTCGGTTACTACACTAATCAGACACTAAACTAGACTAAACGTTCTAAAAAGATTCCTCTTAAAATCTTGTTCTGTGGAATTTTGCATTAAAAGTAATCTTATATGCTCACTGTTAAAAGTGTTCAAATGTTGAGCAGGACATTTTGATTGATTAAATACCAAATCATGAAGATTTGCATTTTAATCTGTTTGAATTTTGAATGGAATTTTACATGGTTTATTCTGATCTTAAATGTGGGAAAAAAAAGACCATCAATTATGATCTATCGACTTTTCTATAGCTTCATTTAATGTCTCCTTGAAACTCTTGTTTTTCCAAAGTAATATGACATGTGTTACAACCTAATGTTAGAGAGCCTTGTGTTAAGTTAAATGAAAATAAGATAAAGCCGAGATTGAAAATAAGGATGTAAGAATGCTGGTAAAAATTCTGTAGCAATTGAAGTTTGTGCTCCATTGTTGGATGATTGGATTTAGTAATATTATGAGGATTCCCTTCCCCTCGAATGCAGGAATAACAATTATACACATCTAACAATTCATTATAAGACTTACAGTGGCCTAAATCACATTACTCATGGTCAGTTCCCAGGTGAGTGTACGAGCCAGTGATTCAAATCAAGTGAAGCCGAAGGTGTAAATCATGGTAAGTAAACAGGTTATTTAGTAAACGCAGGGAGGTTAATGGCAAGGTAATATCTTCCTCTATAAATTGAACAGACCCAATAACTAAGTGACATATGTTAATTATGTTATAGGAAGATCATTATCTTATTTAAATACCCCTTTTCTGTAAAATTCAATTTGGCAAGTGATTGTTGACATATTCCTTTTAAGATACCAACCTGAACTTTGGTTATCGTAAAACAGATGCTATTCTTTCTTTATTCAATCACTAGGTTATAAATATGTCAGCTTTTTTGATATATCTAAAGGAAAATACAAGCACATATTTATTAGTGGTTTGCCTTTTTTTTACACCAGAATGTCGCAAAATAGTTACTATACCTTAACACGGCAAACATGGCTGACTCCGTAGAGAGAATTATTCTACAAAGCGATTGGGAACACTCCTTGAGGTAATTATTTTGATATGACAAATTTCACAGATCTTTTTCCTTGTTAATTTTTTGCTGACTGATCTATTTTTGTTTACTTTTTTCAGTGAAAGCTGTGGTAAAGCATGGATAACATACAAAAAAGGAGGTAAGAGTTTGTAAAGGGAGATAACCTCATAAATAAACCTTATTCCACAGTTGCATTTGCAACTATCGCTCTTGGCATTGCCCAAATCCAACAGTGTCAGTGATAATCCTACTGCTCTTAAGGACCATAGTTCACTATTTTCTGATATTGATTTGGGGTTTGAATATGTCTACATAGTTGAATATATAAGTCTTTATCGATAACAATCTGACAACTAAACGTTCGTTTCCAGCGGATGCTGATATCACAAACTAGGTAGTCGTAGTAGTTGGTAGTTGGATTGGTTCAAATCACATGATTCTGTGATTTTGGTTTGGTTGTTGATTCTACGTTAGATCTGGTCGGGTCGAATGAAACTCGGCCCTGGATCTTACCATAGAGGCAAAGCATAAATATAAACAGGCATGATAACAATGACAATGATAATAATATGTTGGTTGTTGATAAAGTATGGGCTATAATTGATATATTTAATTGGTTTATTTAATTAATCAACACCTTCGATATGTAAACAAGCTTAATAACGTACCTTCTGCCCCAAAATTATGGTGTTTGAAAATACATCTTGTTGATAAGAAAACTTTCTTCCATTTCGGATACATGTTATTATAAACATACATTTTTTTTGTAGATAGACCTGGAAGACATGGAGAGTTAGAATCAAACGGTTTGTCTTCAGAGGGTTTGCCTTACGTTGTTAGTTCTGATGGTTTTTCTGTTGATAAAGTGGATAAGGTAATGTGAAAATTATGTTTAAAATTCATCTGTTAACCCTCTATCATCCTTTAATCCTTTACCGGTCTATTTGTTTTATCTATTGCTTGATTCATTGCTATTGGAATAGTCTTATTGTTGTTGTTCTTTTATTATCTGCCTTTCTACTTCATGGCTTCCCCCCTCTTTTTATTTGCTATATATTACCATGTTAATCCATCCGTCTTCATTTCATTTCATTTCATTTGATGACGACACATGTAAATTGTTGTTATTAAAGAAGTGTGTTCTACCACAATATTCCCTTGTGTTTTCTGATATTAGTTTGACTGAAAAAAGATTATTTGAATTTTCATTCCCGGCCAATGGAATTTCAAATAAAATATTGATGCCTAATAAAGTAATATTACTTTTTATTTTATAAAGAAAAGAATATCAGTAACATATGCTAAAAATGATGTAAAATTAACAAGAAAATTTAATGCTGCTCAAATAACCTACTCTACCATACATAATTTAAAGAAAAAGGTAAGTATACGGGTATGATATTTTCAGACTAGAAATTTCAGTGTTCTTTTTATATATTGTCGTTGCCCCTGTCAGTCAGTCTGTTCGTCTGTCAGCATTTCTTGTGGGCACAATAGAGACTACAGTTTTCATTTGATTGTGAGCATTGGGATTCATAAGACGAATGTTCGAATGTAATGATTTTTTCCATTAACAGGTTTTAAGTTATTGCCCTTGAATTAGTAAAATAGCGTCACAAATTTGTTGTGGGCACAATAGAAGCTACTATTTTCAATGGATTTTGATGAACCTTAGTGTGAGCATTGGGATTGATAAGAAGGCGGTCAAGTTTGAATTTGACGATTTTTTCGATTAACGGTTTTTGAGTCATTGCCATTGATTTAGTAAAAATACATCAAATTTGACTTGTAAACACGATGAGGGATACAGTTTTTATCGGATCTTGATGAAACTAGGTATGCAGGTTTATATAAAGAAGATCTCAGTAAAGTTTAGATTTGTCTATGTTAGTTAGTTTGTGTGAATTTGATAATACCTTATTATATATCTTTGAAAATTTCAGACACGAGAGGAGTGTGATAATTCAATGCTTCTGGATTATTGCAATTGATTTAAAAAGATTTTTTGGAAAAACTCAGCATAACTGACCCTAAATTGATGAGGTATTCAGGGTTTTTGAACTACAAATGCATAATGAAGATCTTCAATATGAAAAATTTGGTATTATTAATAAAATCTTTCATATATTTTTGGTCAATAAAGATTTAGTTATCATCTCTGACAGCTGCCAGTGGGCATATGTTACCTTGCCTGTCAAGCTATCTTAAATTCTATAAATGATCAAAATGTCACTTCTCTTAACCTGACCTTCAGGGAAATTTAATTATATTGGAGATTATTTTTGTATTATAAATGTACTTTGATATATGTGCCTACTTATTTCTATTGATGTAGGTGTTATCATTAGATGTAACAACAGGTGGTTTAGGGGTATCAAGTGATAGTGAAGGATTACTTCGAGTGTGGGAAACTAGAACTGGGGAAGTTAGAGTAAGTCCGATGTGTTCACAGCATTTACTAATATTAACATTTACAGGCATTTATAGCATTGGAAACTAATATAAAAAGCCTTTATTGCTATACAAAATATCACTTGAAATTAACAGTTTTTTTGTTTGTTTTATTAGAGTCTAATTTTACATTCTTACAACAAAAGTTTACATTTGATACATTTGTAGACTTAATTTCTTTAAATGTATTGTGTTATAGAGAGAATTGACCGGTCACTATGGTGATGTATATTGCTGTAGATTTTTTCCATCTGGTATTGTTATTCTATCAGGTGGTGCAGACATGCAACTTAAAATTTGGTCAGCTGAAACTGGTCAGTGTGCTACTACATTACTTGGTCACAAAGGAGGTTAGTAATATTTCAAATAGTAGCTTCACAATAACAGGAGGTATGACGAAGTCCTGTATCTCAAATTGTTTCTTCACATTAGTGTCCATAGAAGGAGTAATCTTTGTTTCATAAACTTCATATATGGTTAAAAAGAATTCATTCAGTGTTAAACTAATACATTAAATAAAAATAAAAAAGTAAGTGAATACCACCAGCTATATAGCGTGAGATTGTTCTCTCTAAAATTGTAATAAATTATAATTAATTTAAATATGTGTGCTGATTTACAAATAGTCTATAAAAGTTTATATGTTTGCAGATAAAGTTGTTAAACTAGTTATATTGAATTATATTGATTTTTGAATAATATATTTGTGTATTTTGAAATATTAAAATAAAACCTTATAACTGAAAATACTTTGTTATTGTATGTATGACTATATTTAGGTATATTAGACACAGCTATAATAGATAGAGGAAGAAATGTACTGTCCTGTTCCAGAGATGGCAGTGTTAAACTATGGGACGTAGGACAACAATCCTGTTTAACATCATTTAATGAATGTGGTGGTATAGTTAATTCATGTTGTATTGGTCAACCAGATAATTTATATAATCTTGGTATACCAGATTTACCTACAGGTATATTATATAGATAATAGTTTTTGATTATCTGTATGGAAAAAGATTAAATTAGCATGAAATACCTGAATAACATAAAAAAAAAACTAAGCAGATGTGACTTGATAAAAGTGCATGTCACGTCATATAATGTGATACAAACATTTCACAAACAAAATTAATTCATGACTTAGCTAATATTTGCTTTAGTCGTTTCATGATCCATCCTATGTTCATGTCTTAGCTGACATAAATCTTAGAGTAGAAACTTAAGCATGGAAAAAAATAATTACCCCCCTGGGCAACTCAGTAGATAAAAATACCATTTTAATTGACAAATGATATTGCATTACTTTATTCTTTCTATACTTAGGAGAAAGAGAAATTGGTACAGAAGGTAAAATGTTATTAGTAGCATGTGAAAACAGTATGTTACAAGGCTATGGGTTACAAAGTCGAAAAAAGGTGAGACATGAATTATGGAAAAAACTTTGGTATATATGTATATGTCAGATTCTATATGATAAGAGATAAAGATACAATCTTTCAAAATTCTATGTAGTAGTGGATTATGTTTCTAAATTTTATAAATAACTGATTTGTTTTGCAATGTTTTGTGTATATTTTAAGGTATTTGAATTAGATTGCCACAGTGCTGTAAACTGTTGTTGTTTTCTGTCCAATATTAATGTTGTATGTGGAACACAAGATGGTCACATAACAATATCAGATATGAGAAATATGAGGTAATCTTTCATATATTAAAGGGGCAGAAAAGACAGAATGGCCCTTTAATTCAGAGTGCAAAATGTGCTTATTTGAAAACGGTACTTATGAAAAGCCATGATTTGACTGGTTGGCTGTATATATTCTTATATCTATGGGGGGTATTTTTGTGTCATGTGTATTTAGGAGATAAATAGGTTCATATTAACACTTCTTAATTATCATTATATAATATATTAAACAATATATTTTATATACTCATCTGATCTGGATCAGACCATTTATTTTATGTACCGTAGCTGTTGTTTTTATTTGCAGTGTACCTTTAAAAGAATGGAAAGAATCTCGCTCAGCCATATTATCATTATTACCTTATAAACAAGGTGTCTTCATTGCAACTGGTATGTATTACTTTAAATGGTTAAGTTACCACAGTTAATGCAACTTTTGCTCTGGATGTTAAACATAGGGAAAATCCATACCCAGCATTTCTGTGGGGATTTTAAGGTTGATTTCAGATCCCTTAAATTTATATCATTCTCATTTATCCTGTTACACATACGATGCACAAATGTTATATTTCTACTGTAATTTTCTAGGTGATGGATCATGTTATTATGTTAATGAACAATATGATACAGAAGTTGAACTAACAGGATCTGATTGTGATCCTATTTACAATACATCTTGTGATGATAATCATATATATACAGCTTGTCGTGATGGCAATATAAGACGTTATAATTTGAATCATTTATAATAATTTTGTTACTATCATGTTCTATTTTGAAAAATAAATATGACATGTGAATGAAGATAGTATATGTGGCTTCGTGAAGTCTGTCTGAGATGAATTGAAAGGTCAAGCTTTCATATTTGAAGTTGTCAGGTGTAGATATAATTGATGGATATGGAGGAGCTTCAACAGACATTAATTCATATATATCACTTTTGAAAAAACATGGTTTTATTTTTGAACAGGATATGAAAATGAAACCAGGGATGTAATTGTTTTAAATCTTCTCTAAGAAGTATGTGATAGTTAGTTTGTTATGATTTTGTGATAATAAAATGATACAAATATATCTTAAATTATTTAGTTCTTTTGAAATTATACTAATAGATCCTTCAGAATTCGACGGACAGAACCTTATACCCAAAGAGATCCTAGAATAAAATACAAATTCTCGAGGTCCCTCAGAATTATTCTCAAGAGAACCTCACGAATTATACCTAGATGTCCTCTCATAATCATACCTAAAGGTCTCTCAGACTTATTCTAAGAGAACCTCACGAATTATACCTAGATGTCCTCTCATAATCATACCTAAAGGTCTCTCAGAATTATTTTCAGAGAACCTCCCGAATTATACCTAGATGTCCTCTCATAATCATACCTAAAGGTCTCTCAGAATTATTCTCAGAGAACCTCCCGAATTATACCTAGATGTCTTCATAATCATACCTAAAGGTCTCTCAGACGTATTCTCAGAAAACCTCCCAAATTATACCTAGATGCCATCTCATAATCATACCTAAAGGTCTCTCAGACTTATTGTAAGAGAACCTTCCGAATTATACCTAGATGCCCTCTCATAATCATACTTAAAGGTCTCGCAGAATTATTCTCAGAAAACCTCCCAAATTATACCTAGATGTCCTCTCATAATCATACCTAAAGGTCTCTCAGAATTATTCTCAGAGAACCTCCCGAATTATACCTAGATGCCTCTCATAATCATACCTAAAGGTCTCTCAGAATTATTCTCAGAAAACCTCCCAAATTATACCTAGATGTCCTCTCATAATCATACCTAAAGGTCTCTCAGAATTATTCTCAGAAAACCTCTAGAATTATACCTAGTGGTCCTTTAGAGTTATTCCCAGAGAACCTGCAGAATCATACCTAGGTATACCTTGTGGACGTCCTTTCAAAATTATTCTCAGAAAACCTCCAGAATTAAAACTAGATCTCCCCTCATAATTATACCTAGTGGTCCTTCAGAATTATTCTCAGAAAACCTCCAGAATTAAAACTAGATCTCCCCCCATAATTATACCTAGTGGTCCTTCAGAATTATTCTCAGGGAACCTTCAGAATTATTCTCAGAGAACCTTCAGAATTATACTTAGTGGCCCTTCAGAATTACTATCCCCAGAGAGCCTCTAGAAATGTATCTAGATGTTTCCCATAATCATACCTAGTGGTCCTTCAGAATTGTTCTCAGAAAACCTCCAGAATTATACCTAGATGTCCTCTCATTATTACACTAAGAGGTCTCTCAGAATTATGCCCCCGGTACAGGTACATTGTCTCCAAAGCTTGTCTTATATAAACTTCACTGGTAGTCCATAATATTGACAAAAAAGTTTTGCCTCTATTTCTTGCATAGAATCTTTAATAGTTCGTCTTTTTCGATATGTATCTTGCACAAATTGACTTGGTAATCAGACAAGGTGGGCTTTTGCCGATTTATTTTTACTCTTTTAATCATGCCTTATCTGGAGCAGTCAAATTGATAAGCTTTCGTTGTCTATCAACCGAGATCTATATCCACATATAACATTTCTTACACATTAACTAAAAAGTCAACTCCATTCAAATATGAGTAAACAATATGAATAAAGTACATTTATTATGTAAAATTGAGTCTTCGACATTTTTTACCTCGAAACATAAACGTGCCTAGTGCCTACGCTCAATGTTTTTAAATATGATTTAGAAGTCAAGAGGTGTAGTGTTATTCGATAAGTCTCTGTTAAGTACAGTGTATAAAAAGCCGATATTTTAAACAGGCCAGATAGTGATTAGTCATTGAAATGTTAAGTTTGAGGGGAATCCAACCTGATGTTTTAATGAATGTTATAAGTATATGTCAATATTGAAACAAGATAACAAAGATTTAGTTGTTGTCTAAAATAGTCAGTTTGTATTCTTTTTAAACTAATTAGGTTTAAACATGTTCAGAATTTGTAAATTGAGGGACATTTCCACATATTTTCACTTTAAATTGAATTCTTTTCGTGCGTTTATGTGTATGCGAAGACCTTCATACCACAGTAAAGGATGAACGGATCGGATGAACGATTTCAGAGTTATTGCCCTTGACTCCTTAAAAACGCGTTGAATTTGGTTGTATGCATGATAAAGGCTGCAATTTTTATCTGATCTTGATGAAACTTAGAATGTATATATAAGATAAGATAAGATTCGAAATTGGTAATAATTGGATGAATGATTTCAGGGTTATTGCCCTTGACAAAAACACGTAAAATTTGTCTTGTAGACACGATATCAACTACAGTTCTTATCCGTTCTTGATGTAACTTGGTATGCATGTATATATTGATAAGATCTCGGTCAAGTTTGAATTTGGTCATAATCGGATGAATGGTTATTGCCCTTGACTTAGTAAAAACGCTTCACATTTTGCTTGTAGTCATGGTGCAGGGTGCAGTTTTTATCTGATCTCAATGAAACTTGGTATGCATGGCTTGTAGGCCTGATAGAGACTACATTTTGTATTCGATCTTGATGAAACTGGTATGAGACCCAAGTAAAGCTTGGATTTAGTAACAATCGAATTATTGTTTTCACACATTCAACCACTACAGACTTTGTTATCATTACTGACAGCTGGTAGTGGGCGTATGTTACCTTGCCTGGCAAACTATCTATATAGTTTGTTGTCAGAAACTTTTATTTAGGTTTTAGATTCACTGAAGTAATCTAGTTTCTAGTTGGTGATGCCAACTTTGGGGAATGTTATCTGAATAGTTTTTAGAACCTTTCGGTCAATTCGATTTTATTTTATCCGAGGTATTAAAAAATGTTTGGAGTGAACTGGAGTGTAAGAAAGAGAAAATGAGCGTGAGTCACTCAACACTTCAAAATGAATAATTACAGAATAGAAGATTACCTTTTATTTTGATAGTTTTGATTTATCTCAGTGATTGCATTGATTTTAATTGCTTAACCTGATCTGTGATTATCCTTAGATTTTAGGTATTATATACAATTAGATAAAGTGTGAAGACTATACTTGAGTTTCTTAATGTCACTTGAAGATTATTGTTAAAGTTGACGTCCCTTTGTATGTCATAACTGACCTGTAAAAAACAGTAATGTGGTTTCAATGACTTGTTTTATGAAGGTTATTTTAGGCCACTATGTTTTTGTGATCGTACCAACTTGAACTGTATATAACATTATAGTATAATAGTGGTTGGTATGATGAACTGGTAGATTAAAGGTAACTATATATTTATGACAAAAGGTAAACAAATTGACAAGTTAGCTTGTATATAGTATGTACTAATATTACTTGTCACACCTGATAGATAGTCTACTATCGTATGTCAACTCAAAATCTAACATTATCTTATTATTTGTCAGATTACCTTGGATTAGTCCATGGATAATACTCTTTATGAACAGTTTGTCTAATAACATATATTTCATTTGTTAATTTATGAACCTTAGATATTTCATAAGGTAGGTATATTGATGTTATTCTTTCATTCCTGTTCAGTGTTAGTCAGGAATCCAAGGTTCTGCGGTGCTGAAAATGAATGCATATTTGCAACAGTCAGCAATTGTAATCAATTTGAAAGAGTTACCTGACATCATTTATAACAGGCCTACAGGGAAAGAATCAGTTTTTATGGGTTTCAATATTGATTTGTATGGCAACTGTAATTGTTGTGACATACAGTTTACCTAACTAACTGAGTAATCAATATTTTGAATCAGGCCATTCGTGATGATAAATCTTTAATAATCAGAACGCAGAAGCTAACACCATTTTCTAATTTACATGGTAATGTAATAATTGTTGTAATTAAACTGTTTTCCTGAGTGAATAGAAATCCCCCTTCAATCCACACATAACGGTAACAGCCCGTTAGACTATAGCCTACTAGGCTGTATTCAATTATTTATTGATTATGAATTAAAGTGTAAACTAATTTTAAAGTTCTTTGTTATATAGCATAATCTGGCTATAGGGCCTTAAGTAGCCGCAATAGCCAAGATAAGTATATGATAGACTTAATGAAAACTTGTAAACATGTTTTTTCTATGTTACAAGATCTAAATATATAATGTGTCATTCCGCTCTAGTTGAATTCGGGTGTCACCTTTGTTTAAAACGCGCGGTTCTCTAGATTGAAAGGTACTCTGTGTAGGATGTAACATAAAGGGTTTTTTTTTTTTTATCAAAATCAATTTGATATATGTTGCAATGAAATGTAAGTGTACACTTATCATATTAATAATAATTCAAGCCTAGGATTACATAATTAGTTGTATAAACATTTTAATAACCTGAACTAGCGAAATGACTTTTAATGAAAACTGAAAATATACCTAGCTTTACATAGCCCTACCAGGTCTTGGAGGGCTTCCAAATGAAATGGTCTCAGTATTCAGTATCTATTGAGTTTAGACCAACTTGACGGGTGGTAATCCTTTATCAATCTCGGTGGTTTCCATAAGCTTGTAGAATTTTCACAGTGGACTGCTTAGTCTAGAAATAGCTTACATCATATGAGTCTAATATAATTTATCAATGAATTGTTCATAATGCCAATCAAAATTTAAACTGAATGAGAACTCATGCCAGCATAGGTAGATGAGCGTGGAGAGTCAAGACGACGTTAATGCAAATGAGGGCCTTCACGTTGACGAAGCAGTGTCAGAGTTCATCTGAAATAATATAATTTACGCATAAATTATTACAATCAAAAACGTCATAGAGGTAGGCTTAGGCATATCTAATAAAAACTCTACCAGTTGAACAAGACTTTGATAATTCTCAGTGAGATAATTAATTACCTTATAATCTGGATATAGTACGATGATAATGGTCGAATAGCACGATTTATATTCAATTCAATGGCCATTAAGCTGCGTGTCGTCTTAACCTGCTTTCAATATGAAGATTATTTATTACTTTCCAAATCATAAAAATAAAATGATATCGATAAGCCAATACTATTTCTAGCGCAATTGTTTTCCATATATTCTTTCTTTCTGTCTTTAAAAGGCTTTGAATCGAAATCACTAAATTTTGATGCCTATTGGTTATATTTAGTATATTTTTATAGACAGGATAATACCGATTACAGATGTTATTTTGGGTTTTAGAAATCTGTTTGATATAGACATAGTCGATTATTGATTATGATGACATGGTATCAATTAAATCTTGACATGGTATTTATTGGTTAGTTACAAGGTAGTTTTGGAGACATGGAATCGGTGGATTTTAAAGCTATGGAATATGTTGGATATAGACATAATAGGTATTCATCGGTTATAGAAATGGTATTTCCGTTATAGACAGTATCATTTTTAATTGGTATTTATCAATTATTATGGTATATTTCGTTATAGACAGGGGTTTTAGTGGTTATAGACATGGTATTTCTGGTAATAGACAGGATATTATACAAAAGTCTAAATGTCATTAACATTACCGATTAGAAACATGGTATTTTGTTTTATAGACAGGATAATAGACATGATATTTAGGCCAATTATCATAGACAGGTTATTTAATAGACATGGTATTTAGGCCAATTATTATAGACAGGTTATTTAATAGACATGGTATTTAGGCCAATTATTATAGACGGGTTATTTAATAGACGTGATATTTATAGTTATGGAAGGATAAAATAATAGATTACAAGCAGAAACGTTAGAAACAAGGTATTTGGTTATAGACATGGTATTTTTGGTTATAGACAAACATTTTGTTTGTAATTGGCAAATTATTCATTTTAAGCAGGTGAACAATTTTCTCTGGTTGTAATGTTTTGTTTGATATTTGGGATGATTGACAAGATTATGATATATCTGATGTTTATAGGACAAGAGACGGTTTTGTTGTTAAAATTTCTTTTCTTCTAGCCATAAAAAATAAACATGTTAGAAGAATAGGTGATATAAATCCAGATTTAAGCACCTTCTATAAATATACTATTTGTTATTGTCATACCAGAGAAACTACTGTTAAACGTGTTTAAACAAACTACATACATATTAGGTGAGAGAATATTAATGATTAAGGTTTATGTTTAGGTTACTGCGACCAATAGAACAGGTAGTTATATATATTGATTAAAGAAAGGCAGATTTGTATTATATACTTATATTAGTATTATATAAGTACACAGGTAAATAAATCAATTTTCATTTGCAAGGAAACCGGGTATCTGATTGACATTTAATTTTGTATAACAAACTAAACATTGTCTCTGGTTAATTTTGAAACATAAGTTGTTTGATGCATGTGCGTACATCAAGGGTTTTCAACCTTTTTTTCCTTTCACCCCTTTCAGGATCCTTAATCGATCAAATTACCCTCCTTCTCCTTATAAATACCTCCTTTTTCGTGATTTCTATTAGGTTGCCCATGCAATCTTTTTCATGTCGGAGAGTATAGTCTAATTGAATAGAACAACTTAAATTATAATTGTCCAAATATTTTATGCTAGACTACCGCCTCCATTGGGGGTACCCCCAGGTCCAAACCTCTAGTGTACGCATAATATGGCCACCTCTTCCTTTTGACGTTGAATAATGTGTAGAATAAAAAAAAGAATGGTTATAGGTATTTTTTGTTCCTATTCTAGATCTAACGACATCTATATAACAATCGTGTGCTCACCAATTTGACCAATCAAATGATCTGTTCATTGAAAGATTAACAACCACTTGTGATAGATAAAAAAAAACATAACTCAGCTGGTAGGGCACCAAGGAGCAGTACTTGATTAAAAGCAAAAATAAAAGAAGTGAATAATTTGTTCATGCCAGAGGACAATATCTTCTTTTGGTGTAGGGAAAATACAAACCGCGGGAACAATTTATATACAAAATTTAATTGTCTCTAGATTTTTGCTGGAAGTATTAATGATGCACAGAATTGATCAGCGAGGGGTTCGTTTGTAAGCACAAAAACTACCAGTTGATTTATCAAGGACCACCAATTGCATATTTACCGAAAGTTTAATCAAACAAAACTTGTTAAAGATATCACATTTGATAATCTTGCGGTGTTTTTATTTTGTGACTGTTTCAATACAAATTTTCTGTGGGGTAACATGTAACATCACCATTCACTGAATGAAATAAAAACCTTCACAATATTTAACAATTCTTTCAACAGATATCTTTCTACAATCTTAAATGATTTGACATTAATTTTATTCCTATTTGAATGGATGTACTAAATTAAAATTCAGTTCAAAATACTAGTTGTGAGAAAAAAGGATTACATATAGCAGCAGATGCATGAGTCCTAATATATGTAGGCCTATCTGTCGTCCTTTTTTAAAATTACAAATCATTTTTTTTTAATCGACTTGTCATAAAACAATGATACATGCACTGGTTTATTCAATGATACAAAAATAAAATAGGTCTCTCCTATAGCAATTAGCCCAGGGCATTTAGGCTACATGCATTTTTCGGTTGCTACGACCTATAAATAAAATGTTATCCCGCCTAAAGCTGTATTAGACCATACTTCTATATAAACTTATACAATATTGCGTGGGTTTTTGAAAGTCGACCTTGTGAAAGAGAGTAACACCAACCCATTGTAAATATGGTTTGAATAGAATATTTGAGTACAAGTTGAGATTATTTTTGTCTTTTTACAGGTGACCTGGCGAAGCTCCAGTCAAATCACCAGCTAGTTGGAAGTGGAAACTATTTATGAATAATTGTATCTCATTATAAATTGTCGTTCGAGTTGAAATAGGTTGAAATATATATTATTGGTGAAACAGCAGTTTTATACTATAGCCGCTATGTCAAGCTCCACTGAGTTTTGTATTATGCATAGCTATAGATAGGTGTGTAGAGTGGCTGTTTATAAAATACCGGTTTTATCATACGTGTGATCGATATCGCGAAGAACGTCTAGTTTCTGGGATATATAGGCTTTATATGGAATTATGTGAGTGTCCGTCCGTATAACTTTGCCTTGACCAATGTAAAATTAAAGTGGAAAGGATTAAAGTTGTTTATTGTTTGTCGAGGTCAAACTACCCGCTAGCTTACTGCTTCATAAATTAACATACTTAAATATATATTTATATTGATCGATCTTACTCATAGCTAACCGGGACTTCAAGCAACATGGTTGACGATAATTTTAACTAGAAACATCATAGTAGACTGTAGAAGAATTCAGTGATAAATATTTCGATTTCGCAGTACGGATTAGGATTATTGTGTCGAGAAAATGGCGTCGTCAACAGGGCGAATGAAACTATATGATATCAACGAGAATAAAAGAGAGGACACGGAATATTATCGAACAGTCGAGGAAGGTAGAGCACCGGATTCCTTTCCATGTGGACACGTGCTATGTCATCACTGTATGAGAGAATTTATCAAACCAAAGATGACGAAAATAACCTGTCCGGTTTGTAGTTATAGTACTGATGTAAATGTACCAGTAGATAACTACTCCTTAGCATATGCTGAGGATGAACTGCCCAACATCACTCTCATGTCAAATTTTGACAATGTTGTCAAGAAATTTAATGGAATAAATAACACTTTACGGAGGTTAAAGCAAGAAAATGTCCAGTCCAGAAGTATGGCTATGACATATACTAATAATCACTGTGATAACTGTCATGAACAACATGGAACTTTAAAAGTTCTTCAAGAATTCAATCAATTAACAGTGCAACATGAAAGGCCCATAGGGTGGAATCCTTATTTTTATAGATTAATGCAAGGTCATGTTGTTACATCTTTCTATAGTAAAGTGAATTCCGCTTGTATCTGTGTACCTTGTTCATATAAAGAACTCAGAGACAGTCAAAAATTTAAAGAATTGGAATTCATGCCAGATAGAGAAGCCATTGCTCGACCAGAAACTACCCTTGCAGAAGTGGGTAAAATCATTGCCAGAGATATTGCCCCAGTTATGTGTCTGCAAGGTAAAAATGTTATAGAAATTGATCATAAAATCCGATTGAGAGAGCGAGCTGATAGATTTGATTTCTTTGATACGACGGATACAATAGAACATATGGTTAAGCAGCAAGAAGAAAGTATTATTAGAGCGGCTAGTAAACAAATCCAAGATACAGGACGGTTATATCATGTTCACGACAGTAGTGAGATTACATACAATAAAGATGAAACAGAACTATAATTTAACTGTTCTGGAATAAATCTTTCTTCCTTGTGTTGTGCTGTGCTAAAAATTCTGGATTAATTGGAATAATGTTTGATTGGAATAGTAGAATTTATTAGATTATATTCTGGAGAGTGATAGTTGATAAGTTTAAACGTGATGTGCTGATATAACAATCATTCAAACTAGGATAATCCTATATGACTAATCCCACAAAAGAGTGTTATATGAATAAAAGGATTTATGTGGCTTGCATAATAAGACTTATATTATAATAGAGTTGCAATAGGATATTAGTGACGATCTTAGTATCGTTGGAGGTGTTTAGTATATATACATTTTTAAATAGATTAGCATAATCTCTATGGTTTTATTATCATTTTAGATAAGATGAAATACTAAATACTGTCAAAGGCAGGCGCCTTATTTGCTCCCATGTTATTTTATTTTTATACTCTTGGTTTTTTGTAGGTTTTATTAACTGGGCCAATGCATAAATTTAGATTTCACTATGTACACAAAAGCCCACGCCTCACGGTTTTATGAGAAATGTCATTTGAGGAATAAAGGGGCATTATTCTGTGGCATAAAGTTAAATTTAATGAGTAAGCTTAGGTCGATTATAATATAAATTCATTCAGTCTGGCTACCAACACCCAATCACCTTAAACATAATAGAAATCTGATCTTTGACGTGCTAAAAACTTTTATAAAGTTTTAATATTGTCAATATTGGTTGTCAAAAGACTAATTGTTTCTTGTTTCGCTCAGCTTTCGCATTATCAAGAAACAGACGATATAAAAGCTTTAAACTATCATTTTGCTTTTAGGTCAAATAATTTATCTGAATAGAAACTGAATTCTGCATACACACCCTTCACATAATGTTCACAAATAGTTCTTGAATAATGATGAATATAAAATCAAATACACTGAAAAAGTAAATATAACTTAACGACTGGTACGATACAAAAGAATGTAACTATGTTGACTATTTTAAAAAATATGTGAAAAGTAACGCATGACAAGGCTTGATATAATGTTCTCCATCTTTTCTGATAATCAGGTTAATTTTGTATCAAAGATATACAAAGACCTTGAGGCTATGATTGATGGATATGTCTGTATGTAATTATAAAAATACCGATAAAACTACTGTTTACAGTTTAACAGATCAGGACTATCTATTTCTCTTCATGTAAATAAATCCATAAACTTCAAATATCTTATATATATAAAAATATAGATTCGTCAAATTGACATATGGATTTAATGATGAAACAAATTTTGACAATATAAAGATGTACATAATCCACGAGAGTTAAAATAGGTCAAATCATCAATCTTATGCCTATTGGCATAGTCTATATTCTCTCAAATAGGACATGCCCTCAAATAGACCACTACTTCAGCTACCTTCATTGATAATGAATCTGCTAATGCTGGAATTGACACATTCCTGTAATCACAGACCATCAATATTAATCAACTTAGGCTCTGACTCTGTAGGTCTTAAACAGATACTGATCTTTTAAAATTGATCTAAGCTAATCTAATTAACGGGGTGCAAATAATGTGAATAGACACTGACCCTACACGCTTAAGACAGTAAAACACATTGTCTCTATAAGATTAATCTTCTTAACATTGACTTGGCAAGACAGACCATGTAAAATAAATCTTGGTCTATGTGAAAGTTTATTCTTGAAATAGACACAGTAAATTAAATCTTAACAGGCACTGACCCTGTTAAGATTTATTTGAAAAGACAGCGACCTTGTAAGTTTATTCTAATTAGACACCGACCCTGTCAGTTTGTTCTAAATGGACACTTGGGTTTATTCTTATTACACACTGACCCTGTAAGGTTTTTCCAAATAGACCCTGGCCTAGTATTTTTTTTTCTAAACAGGCACTGGCCCAGGAAGGTTACTCAAAAAAGACACTGTCACAGTAAGGTTACTCAAACGAGACACTGGTCCTTTGAGAATATTCTTTTAGACTCTGACCCTGTAAGTTAATTCTAAAAGAGACACTGGCTCAATAAGGTCAGTCAAACTAGACACTGGTCCTTTAAGAATATTCTTAACGATTGTGACCCTGTGAGGTTAATTTCAATAGACACTGACCCTGGAATTATTTTCAATAGACATTGATCCTGTAAGTTTATTCTAAATGTCACTGGCCCTGTGAGATAATTTAAACAGACACTGACAATGAAAGGTTATTTGAAATAGACACCAACTCTGGGGATCTTTTAAATAGACACTGACCCTGAGATTATTTTAAATTAGACACTGACTCTGAGGCTATTTAAATTAGACACTGACCCTGTTAGACTATTCTAAATAGACATTGGCCTTGTAGGTAATCTAAAATGACACTGACATTGTAAGAATTTTCTCAGTAGACATTTAAGCCCTGGTCCCTGTAAGTTTATTCTAGAGAAACACTGGTTAATAATAATCACCAAAATTGATTTCCAGAACAAGAAATCCTCATCTATCAATTGGTCCAATGTTGATAGCAAGTGCCTTTCTGTTAGACCTATGCAACTTAACAATGTTTCTTTCTTTACAACCGTAACAATGATTAAATTTCATTAGCATGGCTAGTAGTCAACAAATCTGATGCTATATGTATGCATCATTGTAAGTTGTATATTTTGTTAATAAACGCATGTCTCCGCATTCTTTGATCTCCACTCAATATTTCTTTCAAAGTTATTTTTTTTTTTAAATCTCCGCATATTATTATATTTTTCTAATTTATTAGTCATAGTGATATTGAAATAAAAGGAAGTAATAAAAACACTAAGTTTTATAAAAGAGATTCAATTATACAAAGTTGGTAAAATTGCAACCATGTAATGAATGAAATCAGGAAAGTTTTCTCAAATAATATATAAGTTTTCCCATTCACCATAACAGCTCGAGACCTATCACTTCACTTTAGTGTCTTTAGGTTGCAACATTATCGTTTGTTGAAATTCTGAAATCGGATAAAATCATTGTCCGTCATGAAGTAGGGTCTTCTTGGGCAAGGCCTTTATCTTCTGTGGGCACAATTTTTCGTAATTCCTACTAACATGAAAGATGACTTTCTCCCGTGTTTGTTGAATGTCTCATACCTTGTTATTGTTATTGTTGCTTCTTGTTTTTTGTATATAATTGTTTAACTTTTTTAGCTTTTAAATGACTTAATTCCACCTCTTTTTGTTATCTCTCAAAATGTATCAAAAGTGGCTATGGATAAGCAATTTATATTATTAAATCATTTCTATTATTTCAATATTAGTGCTTTATTTCTGTTTCACGAGAGTCATATTTAGCCTACAAACTATATAACACTTGAACAATCTATATCTAAGATCAAATTAAAATTGATGAATGCTGTTACATGTTAGCTGAAAGTTATCTCCCTTGAAAATCTACAAATTGACCCATTTTTAAATTTCAAAAATTATCCCCCTTGAACTCTGCAACAATTCAAAGAAATCAGAACGTAACATGCAACTTCATTTCATTCACCAGTTCTCTTTACAATTACTGGTTAAACCTAAAAGTAGCATCACTATTTCATATGATAAATAAATTAATTTCAAATGTTAATAGAAGACTGTGGAAACTCTATAGACACTACATAGGCCACAGGTCTGCTCTGTTTCTATCCAACGACAAACTTCTTCAATAGCATATATACGCGTAATATAAGTCAGGTGAAAGGTTATTGATTAAAGGACTATATTATCCTCATTTGAATCTTCCATTTTACGTTTAAAGAACGTATCAAAGAAGAGTGTAAAAGTATCATTTCATTTATATATTTAACCTTTCTTAAATATATTCTAAATAGTTATTTCGCTTGAAATTTTAAATTCACTTGAATATGCCTAAATACTAGCCTACGTGCTTTCAATAGAAAGTCACATGGTTGACATCAAGATATTATGGACAGTAATAAATCTTGACTTTCATTATTTCAGATTTAATCAACTTTAAGATATGAGCAGCAGGTGATCATAAATTTTGAAAGTACATTGACCTAGTTTAGAATTATGCTTTATAAAAAAATCAGGAACGTTAGATTACTTTGCTTAGACAATGTTATAATATAATTATATATCACTATATATTACTGAACCTCTTGAACACGTCCGAAACTATGACATATATTTTTTAGTTTTACTTCAAAGCATGTCACCTTAATATTTGTAGCTGAGGTCATGAGGATGCCATGTGATATTAAAACCGATCAATCGACATGCTTTGACATGCGGTTTGTTTTGTAAATTTGAATACACAGACACGAACTTCGTGAATATTTGGCGTCCATGATACATAATGAATTTGGAAGAAAAATGTCGTTTTTATTGGTTAAAACTTATCTCGTCCAAAAGACGCAACTATTTGGGGAAAATTTCTATTTTGTGGCAAGAGCACGTGGTTTGAACAAGGGGCAAAATCTAGTTCAAGTCTGTTTTATCGTAATTTAATATTCGTCAATGTGTTTGATCCTTCCCTACCAAGACTAGAACTTGGAATCTGAGCTGTGGTATAAGACAGGTAGGCATATAACCCCATTCAGAAATAAAACAGGTTAACAGCAGCTGCTGTATGATGTATGACTTTTGTTTAACCTAAATTTGATAGGTTTCAAAGAGAATAGAATCAATTTAGAATATTTTCTATATACGTTTCTAGTATTATATGGTGAGTTATTATATCATGAATAGCCTATAGCCTACAAATAACCTGGAATGAGTCATATCACCTGTTCACTTTATAACACATTCAAACAATTACTTTCACATTTTAAGTTGAATTCAACCAACCAACCTACAAACAATAGTATTAAAACTCGAATTCTAAATGCCAATTCTAAATAAAATCTAATTGTTCAAACAGTCTTCTAGTCTCAACCAGAGAAAAACAAAATTCATTGAAATTCAATCCAAACTTAATTTCAGGGCAGTGGGCCTTCAGATTTGTAGCCCAGCAGAACCTATCAACAACCGA